GGAGGTCCTAAAATTCAGGTATAAAAGGAGTAGTTTGGGGGTTTAGAACACATTTTGTGTAATTATAACAATGTTATTTATGACTCTGTTACACACACACACCCACAGACACACACCTTTGCATGTGTTTCAGAAGCTGCGCTGCAGTAACTTTGATACCTGGTCAGACGGCGTGCTGGAACAAAGATGACAGAACTGCACAGCTTCAAACTCTTCTTAATGTTCAGTCTCTGGAGTTGAAGGTGGTGTCAGTGGCATCTGAGCTGACGCTGCAGCTTTTCAGAGTCACAGAGAGCGTTGTTGCTGCTGAGGGGGCGGGGCTAGATTATCCCGAGGGGAGTAACGGCTCGTCTTCCTGCTGCAGGGGGTTACGGCATCGACTTCTCGCAGGCGTCTGAGGACGTCAGCGATGGAGTTTCGTTTGTGGCCAAAAAGATCCTCGAGCACGGCGTGACGTCCTTCTGCCCGACTCTGGTCACCTCCCCTCCCGAAGTTTACCACAAGGTCACTGCTTCATTTTTATCAGTTCAAGTTTAGACGCGCTCGCGTGTTCAGGGGTTCCTAGTCTCTCCTTCAAAGTCATCTTCTGGAGCATCTCTGGACAGCTTCTTCCAGGCCAGCTTCTGCTTTCAGTTCCTTCACTGGAAGGTTCTGCTGCACCGCCTCCACCCGCCATCTAAAACCAAACCTGGAAACAACCAGGACGGAGCAGGGAGAGCACTGAGAGTTAAACTAAAACTGGAGATCGGGGTTGGAGGCAGCAGCACTGGAAGGTTCAGAGGTGCATCTGAAGCTGATGAAGTGAAGGCAGGTGTGAGTCATGCATCTCCCTGAACACGCTGAGCATTTACACGTCGGGGCGCTAACGATCGGTGACGTGAAGCTTCTACGTGTAAAATCACAGCATCATCAAAATGTGTGTTCCAGGTTCTGCCTCAGGTCAAAGTTCATGATGGAGGACCACATGGAGCTGGAGTTCTCGGTGAGGTTTTACAGATGCTGTTGGTGAATGTTTGTTGTGTTCTTTGTTTATCCTCATTGATCAGAAGCTGCAGACGTGTTTGCTGGTACGTAAACGATCACGCTGCTGCGGTACACGAGCGCCGACCGCGGCCGAAAGTGGCGTCTGTTTCACTTCCTGTAAACTTGCGTGTGCAGGTTTTCACCTGGAGGGTCCGTTCATCAGCGCCGAGAAGAAAGGAGCCCACCCGGAGAAATACCTCCGCACCTTCAAGTCCGGAGGCCTCGAGCACCTGATGGAGGTCTACGGCAGCCTGGACGACGTTGCCATAGTGACGCTTGCTCCTGAGCTGCCCGGCAGCCAATCGGTGGTGAGGGAGCTGAGCCAGAGGGGCATCACTGTGTCTTTGGGTGAGCATCGTGTAGTCACGGCAACGATCATACAGCAAAGTGATGATGATGATGTAAATAATAAAACACTAAAGTTTCATTTTCAGTTTTATTTACATCATTTTTTCTGTTTCTGTAATATTTGACATTTTATTTCTTAATTTGTCTTTTTTTGCATCTTTGTATTTTTTAAAATATGATTTTATTTATTTTAGATTATTTTTATTTTCTTTAAACATTTATTATTTTTGAGTTTTTTTTTAAATTAAAAAAATCACATTTTTAATTTATTATTTTATTTATTTTCATTTTTAGGTGTTTTTTATTGTTTGCATTATTTATTTTAAATGTGCTTTTATTTTGTAGATTCTTTTTAAAGATAACTTTCTAAAATGTTATTATCCTTTTTTCATTTCCATATTATTATTCAATCCTTGTTTACTTATACACTTTTCTCGTGTGCTTGTATTTTTTATTTTAATGATTGATTTCATTTTTACTTCCTGTTTCTGTTGAAATCGTGTTCCGGTTCGGTGCTGTGCGCGGTGTTAGCGTGGGCCTGTCAGTCCTCTGTAGAGCACCTGGAGCTGCTGTAATCGTCTGAGAGTGCTGATGTGAACAAAGTTTGCTCGACTGGTTCTTGCAGGTCACTCGGCGGCCGACCTGTCGCAGGCCGAGGAGGCGGTGCAGCAGGGCGCGTCCTTCATCACTCACCTGTTCAACGCCATGCTGCCTGTGAGTCCCAGCTGCTGCTCGTCTCTGAGTCCGTTTCTGTTCAGCCCGGTCGGTTTCACGCTCTCAGTAATCCTTCTGTGTCTGCTGTGGTCCAGTTCCACCATCGTGACCCGGGCATAGTGGGTCTGCTGACCAGCGACGGGATCCCCGCAGGCAGGGCGGTTTATTACGGCATGATCGCTGATGGCATCCACACCAACCCTGCAGCCCTGCGCATCGCTCACAGAGCTCACCCGTCAGGTCTGCCCGAGGTTTCTATTTCAGATCAGCAGCCAAAAGCACGAAAATCTCCCCAAATATATCCCTAAATGTATCAGAATGTTCTTATTTTGGTTCCAGAGGTTGGTAAAAGTCTGCAAACGTGTTTAAACGTGTGGCATCACCTGGGAGTAGATGGATTTTGGACTTTCCCGTGTCTTGTGTGCTTCATACTTTCAGGTCTGGTGCTGGTGACGGACGCCATCACCGCGATGGGTCTTCCTCCCGGCCGTCACACTCTTGGCCAGCAGGTCATCGAGATCCAGGGTCTCCACGCCTACGTGGCAGGTCTGATGTTCTTCAGACGTTGTTATCTAACAGGCCCGTGGTTTCCTGAGCGATGCTGCAGAAAGGAGCAAACGCATAACTAGAACCAGAGATCGGAGAAGTAAAATAAATCATTCTCGCGACGGTTTCATGTGTAAAACTCTGTAACGTCACTCTTTATGTGTTCAGGCACCAAGACTTTGAGTGGCAGCATCGCCACGATGGACATGTGTGTGCGCCACTTCAAGCAGGCCTCAGGTCAGTTTGTGTTACTTTAATGACTAAAACCAGGAAGTAGAATCATAATGAGCAGTGACGCGCTGCCTCATGTAAACTCCAGCAGGTGAGACCCGGTTGCTGTGGCGATGCAGGTCAGATCATCATTGCTCTTCACTTCCTGTTCTGTCCTCCAGGCTGCAGTGTCCAGGAGGCTCTGGAAGCTGCCTCCCTGCATCCGGCTCAGCTTCTGGGAATCAGCCCCAAAAAGGGAAAGCTGGACTACGGCTCCGACGCAGGTCAGAGCCGACTGCATCTTTATTTCTGCCTCCCTGCTGTTAGAGCTGCTGTAGTTCCTCCTTTGTGTCCTCAGCGTTTTCTTGGATGTTCATTTGGACTTTTTTCATGGTGGGGGGAGGGGGCTGTATAACAGTTGACCAAAGCCTGCAGTTCCTCTAGTGTCCAGCGGAGGCTCCAGCCAGTCTCCATAGACTCCCATGTTAAACTTTACAGCAGAAATGAACACGTTTACAGCCAAACTGCTTGGAGAACTTCGAACTCGCTCTGTTTCAGATTTACAATAAAGTTTTAATAAGAGTAAATAAAATAACCCACATGAATGTTGAGTGAATGTTTAGCCTCCATCTTGCACATTGTCAGTTGTGCAGCGCTTCAAAGGTCAACGGCGTTGGATTAAAGTTTAACGGCTGTAGCCGTGAGGTTCTCTGGGATCGCGCCGCCGCGCTCTGACCTTTCCTGGAGTTCATGTGCTTTCCTTTAAGTGAGGCCAGCGGCTCGATTCAGGCTGAATTTGTGAGACTTACAGTTTAACTGATCCTTCAAAGCATCGATGTTCGTCCAGATGTTCAGGAGGAAACCGTCTGCGACTGACAGAACTCCAACTTTCCACCGTCTTCTGATTCTTTTCTCTCAGCAGCGCTGCCTCCTGTCTTTCTTACACTCTGCACTATTTTGTTTTTTAGACCTTGTTCTGCTCGATGAGGGCCTCCACGTCAAAGCCACTTATATTTCTGGAGAGGAGGTTTGGAGAAAAGGACAGTAGGAGATGAAGAAGGAAACTGGACCGCCTGTGCCTTTGTACATGATCGACATGTCGGGGTTTTAATGGACTGCCTGAGTGCACCAGGCACTGCCGGAAAACTGGACCAGAGTGAAATATTTCTGCATTATTAGTTTATTAAATGTCAGATGATGTGGAAAATGTTTTCCTGCTTTTCAAACTACCAAAGATTTGTTTATTACCCTGAAAGTCAGCGTGCTCATTGATCGTGTGTTGCTGAAAGTCTGATGTTGTGTTAAAGCAGCTGTATGACCTCTGCAGGGTCAGGGGTCACAGTGGACGTCACTGCACACCCTCAGTTTCTGTAAGCGTCTCTTTTTCTTTGTTGCAAATTTTACTGACACCATCAACAGAGTGTGGACAGACTGCTGCTGGTGTGGCAGCAGATTGTCTCATCGTGAGAGGGTCTGGTGGTCTCTGGTTTGAACGTTTTCAGCCTTTAAAAGAAGAAATAGTCACATCGTGGACTCATAACTGTCCGCGTGAGACCGACCTGGTGACAGGCTGTTCAGGAACTCAAAAGTAAGGGTGGGAAACTCCTGCTCAGGAAACTTTGTCATGAATCGCTCTCACGGGTGAAATGCTGCCCCCTGGCGGTGAAGGTTATAGTTAAAGGATAGTGAGAACCTCTTTACCCCTCAGGTGTCGACGAGGGTAACCCTCGTTTCTCTTTCCTGATCTAAACAGAAAGAGAAAAACCTGGAAATGAATCTGATGGTCGTCAAATCTGAGACAGATCGACAGACGCTGGCAGAGTTCAGGCTGTGCTCGCTTTAACCTTTGTGACACCAGACAGATCTGAGAGTACAAAAACTGTAACGAGCTGAGTGTTTACAGCAGGGTGAGCCTGAGCTCACTCAGATTATTCGTACACACTCAGAGCTCACAATTAGAAACACCGGACATGTTTAATCTGAAAATCCAGCACAGGGACGGGGGAAAGGAGAACAGTCCAGTTTAATAATGACACAGTATGTAGGCTCAAACAGACACGATGTCCTTTACAGTAACTGTGTGTGTGTGTGTGTGTGTGTACACTCTCAGACACTCTTTATAAAGTAAAAGTCCTGCTTTCATTTAGTGAAAGTAAAAAAATTGTAAAAATACTGAGAGACACTAAGCAGCACAGATAAATACAAACAGTGATGACAGACTAATCTTCCATCTTGTAGTTTTTTAAAATTCTAATATAGGTGAAAATTTTCATGGGAAAGTGTCACGGCGGGGTGTATGGAAACAGGACCCAAAAGCAGATGAAGATGAGGAGTTGTAAGTTTAAACAGAAAAGTGATCCTTTATTAGATGACAGCAGGGGTTAACCAGGAACCTAAAGCAAACTGACAAAAAAAACCCCACTAAGAAACAAAAACTATGACTGAGGTGGGAAAAACAGACGACCCGACAATGACATGCAGAAAACAGAGGGCTTAAATACATACATGAGGTGATCAGGGGAAGTGGAGACACATGGGGGAACAGCTGACTGACATAAACCTAAATGACAGGACCAGGAGGAGGAAAGCTAAATACAATGAACAAAGAACACATGACACTGTCAGAATAAAACAGGAAACACTAAAACTAGACATGACAACACAAACTTAACAGACCTAATACGTGATGAATAATACAAGAACCCAAAACATAGAAAACCAAGGGAACAATAATAAATAACAGCTTAAACTAAAGCTAGATAGGAAATGACACAAAAACTAATCACATAACAAAATGAGACAAATACAAACATGAGCTCAGAGTCAGAGACCCAGCCTGTGACAGAAAGGTTTAAAGCAAAGTCTCAATAAACGTAATTTTTCCTTTGATTGCAGTTTTATTTTTATTCAAATGTTTTTATGCCCAGTTTTTAGTTTAGATGATCACAGTGTGACGTGATTTACCTGAAGCACCAATGATCGAGCAGGATCAGGTGATCAGGGACAGAAACATAACTCACATTTTACTGATTTTGCGCATGAGTGGTAAAACTTCTCAGCGCGTGTAAAAACCTCTGTGTCCTGAAGTTACGTTTCCACGCTATGATTCAAATTTAACGTCAGATTGTCAGTGTTTCCGTGCCGGTGGGAGCTGACGAGGCTGATCACATTTCAGCGAGATTTACGGCGAGAGCTGGACCGGTTCATCCTCCAGGACAGCACTGCGGGAGGAGACGGTCATCTCCCCGGAGAAGAGGCGCCATGCCCCGGCTGGCTGGCTCGGTCGGTGTCCTGTCCTGAAAACGTCCCTGCAGAATACAAACGTCCTCGAGCCAGAGCGAAATAAAGAGGAAGTCACTTTCAAAATAAAAGCTCAGACACATTTTTTTTAACAACAAATATACATAGTAATGTAGTTATAGAAAGGGTATGAAATATTTCACAGCTTGCAGTATCTTTTACAAGTCATGAATACAAAAAAGCGATTAAAAAAGAAAGAGGTGCTCAAGGTATAAACAAAGTGAAACGAAGTGAAACTGCACAGTCGACACAGCTCTTGTGTTTTACATGCTTTGGAGTCAGTGCTCTTCTTTAGATTCTCTAGATAATTGGAAAGCAGGGCTTTAAAAACAAATATGTTTGGACGCTGTTGAGAAAATTTTGTGCAATGTTTGTGAAATTCAGCAAAAATAATCCGAAGACTGATAATATTTTTTTTCCTGGATTTATTTTATCGGTATGTGAGAGGCCAAATAGAATATGTTGAAACTTCAGTTTACATGAGGGATCGATTTTGGTGTTTATAAAATTATTTCGATCAATACAAAACATACGTGTATACGTGCATTCCCAAAATACATGACATGTTGTTTCCTCTGCACTGCTGCAAAAAGTACAAAGAGTATCAATATTTTTCTTAAATTTAACCAGATATGTCTTTACCGGATAACATCTATGGATCAACTTAAGAGTAACTTCTCTGACCTTATTAGTGATAATATATTTCCTTGACAGAATCCAAGTGTTTTCCAGTTTATATCATTGTAAATATCCAATAGAATAAAGCTGCAGGTTTGGAAACAATATCTCTTTGAATAATTTGTCTAATACATTGATTTGTGGCTTTATCACTCAATAAAGGACAGATGTTACCGATGTATATGTTAGTGGGATTTAGTTCTGGAATAACACAATTTCTACCTTTAGGAGCAGACACCAGTAACCTTCTCACCCCATCTGGAATTGCATCAAAAACTACAGCGTATTCTTTTGGAGTGACAGGAAAATCATAAACAGACAAAAATTCCTTATAAGAAAATAATTGACCATTATCATTCAGTTACTGACTCACAAGTAAAATATTTCTATCAACCCATTTAAAGCTCAGACAGATCACAGACGCTTAAATCGTGCAGTGACGTCACTTTTACTTATTAGAAAGAGTTTGAAGGGAGACGGTCCACTAAAGCACTGCAAGTAAAATCTGTCTTTCCAAGTAATGATCATTTACATTGTTTTTACTTTATAGGACACAAATGTAATATTCAACTGAACGAAAAAGAGTTGTAACAGGGGCAAAAATAATAATATTAGCACGCTGTACCTCAGAAAAAAGAAAATATTCATTCATCCCATTATTTTTTAACAGCATGTTTTTCTTGTAAATATACAAAACATATAAATTCCTGATTACTGAGAGTTATAACCAAGCAGTAACGTGAAGCACCAAACCTGCAGTTTCTCCTACGTCCACTAGAGGCTCCAGCAATGAGTCAGTCCCCATAGACTCCAGTGTTAAAACTTTACAGCAGAACTACACGTTTACAGTCTGATATACAAGATGATTGCATTGTTAGGGGCGTGGCCGCTGCGACTGACAGGTGGATGGTGACACAGGCACTGAAATGTTCTGGGCGGTCCCGGAAACCAGGATGAATCTTTCTTGTCATTGCACTGAGGTACAGTTCATTTCTGTTCAGTGATAAATCAGATGACGTGTGGAATGAGGCCTTAACGTGGCTTCCTTCGCAGATTCCTACGTTCAGCCTCCTCTCGGGGTTTAGTAATCTTCTTCTTGCTTTATAGGGATTTTATTTTGAAGGTGCGGAGAGGAAGTGGTTCTTCCTCCCCGCAGCTTGACGGTGGGGACCGCGAGGAGCTCGATGGTGACTGTGCACATCGCTGTGTGAATGACAGAGGATGCATGGAGGTCTCCGGCAGCTGGCAGCCACAGATCCGTGTCCTCCTCGGTGCAGCAGCGGCGGCAGCGGGCATCCTCTTCGCGGTGAGTCTGCAGCTCTCCTCCGGGCTGCTCTTTGTTTCCATGCCTGCAGTCTCTCAGCCAGCCACCAGCTGTACTGCAGGTACACCAGGTTACCTAAAGTCTGCATGTGAACTTCAGGTATCAGCAGGGAAGCCTCTGCAGTGAGGGACAGAGGGAGGCACAGCAAACTGTCTCTGATCACTTCATTTAACAGCAGACATCTGCGGCTTTAACGCTCGGAGCGTATCTTTATCATTTAGTCATAAACACCAAGGAGGAGAGAGACAGTTTGAGAGCAAAGCTTTCTCTTCTGGGAATAAAATCGGAGGATTTTGGTAGAAAAGCGTGCAGCAGACTCTCAGTCAGCGTTCCGATCAGGAGCATCTGGAGCTCCTGATCGTATCTGAAGTCCTTGTTCAAGGACACAACTGTGGAGCGAGCAGGAGCAGCTGGAGCCAGAGACACACTGATGAGTCTGATGAAGATGAAGCTGCTGATTAACATTTCATATAATCCTCCTCTGGTTTAAAACTGAAGTATGAGGATAAAAGTGATTTAGTTTAAAAATCTCTTAATAGTTAATAATAATCATAACATCACCCATTATTGAATTTTTCATGTATTACACATTTATCTTATCATAAATATCATACGTGGATATATAAGATCAGTGTACGTAACGTAGTCTTCAGACGGCTCCAAACAACCAGTTTCACAGAGTTTTTTGAACTTTTGGATCTGCATGATGTCAGAGAGCAGACAAAAGCTCCACCCACCACCTCTTTAAATGTTGCAGTTGCCCTAAAAGGGGTGGGGCTAAATCTTGTTTCAAACAGAAGAACTGTGAATCATGCAAAGGTACTTAAACTTTCCAGCACAAACTCAGCCTGACGTGCTTACTGAGGTCATAAATCAACAACTTTATTCAAACTCATCGTTACAACAAGAGGAGCTGCCACCTGCTGGCCGTTACAAATAATGCACGATTAGAAAGCTTCAGCACTTTTTCCATCTTTTATTTTCAGCGCGACCAAAACCTCACAGTAAAACAAAGAAACGGTAATTACTTCATCCCTCCTTTACATGCTCAGCCGGCGTCTGTCCACTTATGCTCAGTAAGTAAGGGAGGGAGGCTAATGACTCGTTGCTATTTGTGAATGAAGCTAAATGTGATTTTCTCTCTGGGATAATCTTTCTCTTAATGGTGGAAGTGGTGAATGATTAGGTTTATAAGGATGGATCTGCATCAATCAAACGTGGCTTTTAAGTCCGCTGCAGAGTCATTCAGACTTTGCAAATATAATTTCTTTCTGAAGTCACTCAGAAAAGAGTTTAGAACCAAAATGTATGCACAGGAACTCCAGCCTGCTCTGAACGCTCAGTTTATCGCAGCTTTCTCTACTCTTGGATCTGTATGATGTCATAGAGAGCACATATTCTGACCCACCTGCTGTTTAAACCTTTTTTTTAATGATGAACAACCAATCAGAATAAAGATGTCTTAAAGGGGGAGGGGCTTAAGCGCCTCCTTTCAGACAGGATGAACCGAGGGCTGCGGTGCGAGATAAAGAAGGATTATTTTGCTCTGTGTTTCATGCAAAGCTGCTGTAAAGCCCAACAATAAAAAGATGAATGAGCTGAATGGAGACACTTAAAGTTTTGTGACACTGGTCAGAAGTGACGCACAGAATCCCATCAGCAGTGCGATCGGCCGGGTTAACGCTTCAGTCCCAGCAAACCAAAGGAAGAAGAAGCCTGAAGACGTGGAGGAGCTCGTGCACGTTAGCAGAGACGAGACAGTCAGTGAAAGCAGCAGCAGCACTGTGTTTGTGTTACTGTCCTCTGTGCATGCTCATGCCCCCTCTGCCTCCCCCTCTCTTTCATCAGGGCACTTCCACCTGAGCCAGCGGCATCATGGGAAGCTCCTCCTCCTCCCTCGCTGACGAGGCGGAGGACGATGCGGCGCCCCGGGGTGCAGCTCTGCCTCCCTCTCCCATCATGGGATGCCTGAGGAGCAGCCAAAGCACATTCCTCCCTCGGCAGCTTCCCAGACCGGGCCGGCACAGGGAGCGCAGGTGAGACAGGAAGGGGGCGTGGCCAAGACGTAACGATGAGATGAGAACGAGACCGTGGCTCTTTTTCAGTTTGTAATATCTGCAGTGTAATATCCTCTGCAGCGGTCCCACTTCTGCTCTGATTTTTTATCAGCGAGCAGGTTTGTTTGTGCCTGCCGGTTTGCTGGGAACCAGAGCTGCAGATAATCAGCGCTGTGCTGCTCCACAGAGACCTGCAGAAACCAGAAGAGGCAGATTTAACCTCTCCTCATCCTCCAGGCTGTCGGCAAACACGCATCTTTGCTAGGCTGCATTTTAACCACATGCTAATGAGCAGAGCAGATTTAGTCTCTTACAAGCATTTAGTTCCTGCAGCTGGGGGTGCAGGGTTAGGGGGTTAAAGTGCAAAGCCGACATGAAGAGCCCTGAATATGAGCTGTAAGCCCAGAGTCGGAGCGCAGGTGCCGCCCTTTAAACTGGCCGATGGTGAGCTAAAGGTTATCAGACCTGCTAACAATGTCTGTAACCCTCCAGGTGTTCAGTAACCATCAGCTTTACTCGATGTCCAGACCCGAGCTTGGAAATAGGGCCAAATCTAAAGTTGAAGATTTGAGTTTTACAGACCGAAGAAGAATCATTTTATTGTTTCTGGGGAAAAATAAGATAAATCGATCTTCAGAAAAGTGAAAATTGTCCTTCTGAGGTAACCGTCAGTTCCCAGCACAGGGTTTAACATGCTGTGTTCAGATGCTCGCCAAAGAAACACGTTAAACAGAATTTAGGTTTAAGTGGTTTAAAAAGGAAACGGGCCACAGAGTTGACGCTGTGTGGCCGTCTGATCACAATCATTACTAACCAGCTGGAACTATCCGATGTATATTTCTGATCTCGACCTCAAAGTCACCAAACCTTTCAACAATGTTGAAATGTCTGGGATGCAATCTGGAAGTTTGAATCCAAAGAAGCAAAAACAAGGGAGGAAAACCACAGGAAGCAAAGCGGAGACGCGAGGCGGCGCGAGGGGAATAGGACAGATGGGCAAAGCGTCGTCTGTGTTGGGAGTCAAACCCATAAAACGCTCAGCTCAAGGCTTCGATGTCACAGAGATGGAGTCTGGAAGATGAACATTAAGATCAAAGGCGTGCAGCAGTCCAGACTGAAGAACTTCCTGTTGCACAGGGGGCGCTCTTACGCTCCTCCAGAATAAACCAATCTCTGTCCTAGCAAATTTTCATCATGCTGTTGATAGAAGAGTTCAAGAAGTTCGAAATAGTTGAGTTTTTAGATTTCTCAGAGGTTTCTGCTGTAGTAAGATGCCACACGCTGCTTGACGGCATCTTCCACTTTGATTTGGGGCATGAAGCGAAGAGACTGCAGAGAGTTCGTAGCGTCACCTCCAACCACCTCAGTCAGCTGCTTCTGCTGGGCTTTAGCTGCAGCGAGCACCATCCTGAACCGTTAACCGACCAATCAGCACAGATTAGCAGAACGCTAAAAGCTGATTACTGTTTAATTAGGAACTGAGAAAAAATGAAGTCATGTTATTTGAGTTCAGCTGGATCATTGATGCTGCATGTGTGGGGGCTAAAACCTAAATTGTTTTATCCTCTGAGATTGATTCCCGCTCACCGAGGTCTATTTTCTCCCCGCTAAATTATCCAGCTTCTCCTGCAGCACATGCAATAAACACACTCATACCATCCAGACACTGAGAGTACGTACACAAGCACCGACACACAGCTTCAGGAAACAAACAGAGAAGCACAGGAGACGAGAACAAAGGAGAAAAACATCTTCAAACCCGGCGTGACCAGAACAGCTGGATCCAGCACCACCACAGCTCTCCCAGCTGGTTTTGTTAATGAGCGACTATAGTAAGGCTGAATCTATGTCCGTCGTTTAGACGTCACCGTGAATATTTCATGAATCGTTCGATATGAATCAAACCGCAGCCTTCCTTATTAATTATTACTGCATTTATGTCGAATAAACCGCCGGCGCGCGGCTCACTGTGAGTCACCTTAGCCTTCGGGAGCCTCGGCCGGGAGTCGAGTTACTCGCTGACAGGAAATGGAGCGCTGATGGGGAAATCCCCGGTGGAAGAGCTGGTCTGAAGAAGCCCACTCAAGCTTTCCGCTGGGAATTCAGCTCAGCAGGCCACTGCACTCCCCGTCTGATCCACAGAGATCAAAATACCTTTCATAGATGTGGAGGAGAAGGAAAAGAGGCCGGCCGTGGCATCTGGAAGCACACACAGCAGAACAGAAGAAGTTCCAGGGTTCTCCGAGGAATCGCCTCCTTAGAGCTGCAGGAAGTCCAGATCTCAGCAGGTTGTTCCATGATCCACAAAACAATCTGATTCAGGTTTAGAGCTGCCTGCACCTTCAGTGTTTCTCCTCCTTATTGAATGAAATGAAATCAGTTTTCTTAAATCATTTAAGAAAAATGAAATGAAATTATTTAAGATCAATAGCAGAGTACAGGAGTTAATAAGGCGCCAAAATAAAGTCAATAAGAGAAGTAAAAATTAAATTAAATAGAAGTGAAGAGCAGAAGTTAGACTGCTGCAGAATTTCATCATATCTGCAGCTCCGCCTTCTGTTACTACAGTAACCCCACAGCAGACATATGATGTCATTAAAAAGGCTCCAACAGCACAAACAGGTCCAGTTCAGGTGAAGCTAGCAGACAGCTAGCAGCTACAGCCGCCTGTGTCACCATCAGTGTCGGGGAGTAACGGAGTACGTGTACCAGCGTTACGTATTTAAAATATGAGTAACTGTATTCTGTTACAGTTGAAAAAGGTGATATTCAGAATACAGTTACTTTGTTTAAATAAATGGATTACACGGCGGTCTTCTCCTGTTTCATATGTTCGGCTAACCCTCTCTATTTTGGTGATTCCACGCCGGTGGAAACACAGACAAACACGCATTAAGAGGCTCTAATGTCTGTGTCTCAGTCTCACGGCCCACGTCACCTCTACTTGCAGCCGCATAATGATGTGAAAAAATATTTATTTAAATATTTTTTTAATTATTATTCAAAAAATGATTTAATATGAAGGCAATAGCAGAGTGTTACAGGCATCGCCCTAAAGCACGCAGCCTGATGGGCAGTGTAGTCCGTGCTGCAGGGAGAATGGACCCGTGATGTGTCTGTGAGCGAGGAGGGAGAAAAAGGAAAAGTCGGAGCTGTCACCGAGCAGAAACGGGAGCTGGAAGCATGTAAATATAATAATAACCACTGCAGCCAACAGAGAGCCTGACGAGCCCAGCTGTAAGTAAGCTGTTAAGACTCGACTGTACACCGTGTTCGTGTTTCCTCTGAAACAATAAGCTCTGTTGCAGCAGTCTTTCAACGCCTCTCTCTGTCTCTGCTAGCAAAGTCGACCCAGACAACAAAGTAAAGCTAGTTTTCAGCTACGAGCCGACACGAACCCGAACGTATCAGCCAGAGGTCCCTTTACTACGGTTCGGAGCCGCGGACCTGTTTTATATACGCGAGGAATAGTTTTCTATACGAGATCGCTGCAAAAAGTGCAGCCTTACCTAATGTCCACCTACTGTTACTCATTTATATTAAGATTTAAACATCTGTAACCGTCAGTAACAGTAATAAATCACAGCAATAGTTGATTCATGTAGTTGTAAACAGCATGATAATATATTAAGTAATCCAAAGTATTCAGAATACGTTACTCTCATTGAGTAACGTAACGGAATACGTTACAAACTACATTTTGGGGCATGTAATCTGTAATCTGTAGTGGGATACATTTGAAAAGTAACCTTCCTAACACTGGTCACCATCCACCTGTCAGTCACAGAGGCCACGCCCCTAACAGTATAAACTTTAAGCCTTAATACAGTTGAAACAGGTGAGTTATAAAATCAGGTGTTATGAAGGAGGAAATGATCGACAGAGACCAATCAGTTTGTGTTTCTGGCTGTAAACATTTTTATTCCTGATGCAAAATTTTAGCGTTTCTCAAACAATGTCATGAGAAGATGCTGCACCAAAAGCTTTGTGTTGATTGCTTTGGTCGTCATGGTTACGGTAGTTTTTCGCATTTGTCTGCAAATATTTGCTAACTGCTAGCCAAGTGACTCGCAGTTAGCTGTTCAGTGCAGCTCAAAGAGCAGCAGGAGGCTGTTTGCAGACGAGTTCCAACTACAGCCGCAGCAGTGTGCTGGCATCGAGGGTGGTTGCTGACAGCTCTCCGGGCCGTTCATTTGATCACATCCAACAAAACTTCTCAAAACCTGAGTGGGTGACTCACTTCTGCAGTCCCCAGTGGACGTCAGTGGAACTGCAGCCTTCACAGGTTGCAGGCCGTTTCCCTGCGTCGGTTCCTTTTTCAGCCGCTGTAATTTGCAGCTAAAAGGCTCTCATTGTGTCCGGATTATGAGAAACATTTCCAGGAAATTGGATCCATCCGTCACTTTGTGCAGCAGCTGTTTTGGGACTACTTCCATCTGATTTGGTTTAAATTGAGTTGAATGAATGAGCATACAGCATTTATCTGCATGGAAATATGGGCCGATGAACGCACAGGGGATCTGCAGAAAATGAGCACCTCCAACTTTTATGACCTTAGAAAGTTATCATGTTTATATCTTGTCAGTAAAAATAACTCGGGGTTTTCTGTATTGCACAGCCTTCTGCGTGGGTAACGAGCAGCTTGTTTCTCAAGCACACAAACAGCAGAGGTTCTCACGAAGGCCGGTTGTTGATTAAAAGTGTGTTTTGTCCCGAGCGCGGCGTGCAGCAGCCGTCACCTGCCTCTTACAGACAGCTTGTTCTGCAGTAAATCCTTCAGGTCAGCTGTGCTGGAAGTTTCAGGCTTCATGCCAAACTACTTAGAAAAGTGCAGCCAGAAAATGTGGGCCAGCCTGAACACGGCTGTGACGCTGGCTCCCGAGGTCTCGTTCCTCCCTGGACACCAGGGTGCAGATTATCTGGGTCTGCTTTACAGCCGAGCATGAATCTGAGATTAGAACCGTGTTTTTATTCTATATTCACAAAGACGCTGAGCAGCCTGCTCGCGATGAAGCCGGCGTCAGGGAGGCAAAAGTGGAAGAGCAGATTTTGTTGTTTCATTTGCATATTCGTGCATTTTAATATTTTCCCTCCAGCACAGCAAAGGAAACTGTTATTCACTCACTCGTTTATATTTGGATTTCTTCTCATATTTTCAGGATTTTTCTTCCATTTTCGTCTCTCGGGCTTTCACAGATAAACACACTGAAGCTGTGGCTGTGGTTTGCTTTTAGCAGATACTCACGGTGGAAATTTTCACCAGTGTCATGAAAAACACGGCAAAGTTTATCTAACATTTCCAGACATCGTTCTTATCTCAATGAAGAAAATCTCTGAGAGTGATCAGCTACTCTGCTTATTTCAAGCTGTTCATTTAATTCTTGATCTCTAGATTCAAAATAATCCAATATGGAGGGCAGGGAGTGCAAAGATTAATATTCAAAATTAAACTAAACTTAACTAAATAAGAGGAAATAAATAAGTAAATTGTGATACAGTGTTCCCTCGCTATAATGCGGTTCACCTTTCGCGGCCTCGCTGTTTCGCAGATTTTTTTGGGTGCAATTATGCTTTTTTTTTTTTCTTACAGCGCATTGTATTGTCAGTTAAAGACGCGCTGCATATGAATACTGCTGAAAAAAGCTGGAGAGGATGAGGACCCAAAGATGACGAAACATCATCCACCCAGGAGACGCTTTGACCAATATCTATTTTTAACAACTGGTGTTTGCTGATGGATTTTATTTGTAGGAATAATATATATTAATATATATTAGTCCGACTCATATGTTGATCGATATTAGCTTTTTGCCGATATAACAAATCTGCATTTGTAACGGCTGATAAATAAGAGTAAAGAAGAGACAATAGAAACACTCTTCAAACGTCTTATTAGTGTTGATGTTGCATAGTTTGTCCACCAGAGGGCGCTCTGCAACTTTTTTGTTTAGAATGCCTCAAAAAAGGAGTCAACAAGTAATTCATGACTTGTTGTAGCAATGAAACACGATTATTTTTTAGCTAAATTTTTATACTATATTGGTAAATCATCATAAATGGATTTTGATATCGATATCGGTCTCAATAATCTTACATCGGTCAGGTTCTGACGTTAATGTCCTCCCGTTTGATCACATGACTCTGTTTCTCTCTGTAGTTTCTCCTCTGGATCGATGCCCATCCAGAGGAGTCAGTGGGCGTGCGGCTGCTGCACTTTCCTCAACGCCGCCGGCGCCCCCCGCTGCTCCATCTGTGAAGCTCCTCGGCAGGGACCCGATGCCCGGTGGATGTGGCCCGGAGCAAGCAGAGAGGACGACGGTTGGGCGTGCCCACGCTGCACACTGGCGAACTCCCCTGACAGCCTGGCCTGCAACCTCTGCGGCTACGCCAGGGCGTCCGCGGAAGCCCAGCCCCGGCCTCAGCGCTCCAGCAGCTGCTCCGGCCCCCTCAGGATGTCCTGGACGGAGACGTGCCGACCCCAGAGCAGGAAGCAGCCCGGAGACGCCGACAAAAGCAGCCTGGCATGGGAGTGCTCGAGGTGCACGCTGCAGAACACGCCCACCTCTATGTCCTGCTCGGCCTGCGGTGGACCCCGCAAACTGTCCCTCCCTCAGATCCCGGCCGAGGCGCTCCTCGTGCCCGACGTCTGCGAGGATCATGGAGCACGGCGGGCCGAACCTGCAGCGGCGGCGCTCTCGCTATCGATTTCCACCCGAGGGGAGAGTTTACATGCAGAAGCTTTGCATCCGAACACTTCCTCCGTGCTGACTGCGCCGCCTGCTGGCCACAACAATCCAGTGCCCTGCAGCCGCAGAGAGGTGCCCCCTCCAGATGTTGGCCTCAGCCAGGCTCAGAGCACGTCTTCTCCCTCCATCCTCGCTGTGTCCCATCCCTCAACCCAGCCGGAGCTGCTGGCCGGCAGGAGACTCAGCATCCTTAAAGAAGAGATGTCCCCGTTGTCACCTGCATCAGACGCCTCCATGTCATTCTCGCTCGCTGTGAACAGGATGGAGGAGTGGGCGTGTCCGGCGTGCACACTCATAAACCGGCTGGAGTCCAAACACTGCCAGGCCTGCCACACCCCTCAGCAGCTAAAAGCAGAATTGTTCCCAAGGAGGAAGGAGAGCCGGCTGGTGGAGGCGCTGCGGCAGAGTGACGAGGGCACGGCCAAAGAGCTGTGGGAGAACATCGTCAGCTTCTGCAGAGAGGTGCGTTTAAAGCACACACTCACCTTTAAATTTAAGGTAGAAACAAGAGTTTATGCTGATGTTACTTCACTATCGTGGAGGTGGACTGACAGTCTTCCTCAGAGCCAAAACGACCTCCACCCAGAGTGCAGAGCAGCCTGAACTTCACTGTGTTCAGCTCTGGATCTGCACCAGAACCTCCGACATTAACGAGAAAAATTAAACAGGCTAAACAGCAGATGGAGGATGGAGGAGTGGGCGTGTCCGGCGTGCACATCTCATTGCATCATCGTCTTCTTCTTCTTCTCCCAGAACGCGGTGACGTTTGTGGACGACAGTTTCCCTCCTGGTCCAAAGTCCGTCGGCTTCCCGTTGGACGACAGCGTCCAGCATCGGGTCAAGAAGTGGCTTCGTCCACAGGAAATCAGCTGCGCCGCCTTCAGAGACCGCGGCGTGAAGTGGACCATTTTCCGCACGCTGCGTCCGTCTGACATCCTGCAGGGGCTTCTGGGTAACTGCTGGTGAGCTGATTATGCTGTCACAGAGTTTATTATTAATTATTATTCCCAGGATTTATTTCTGGATGATTGTTTAAGCACATTAAAGGAAGGCTGTGTTCGGAGAGCAGGTTCCTGAGCGCCTTGGCTGTTCTGGCGGAGCGGCCGGAGCTGGTGGAGAAGGTGATGGTGACCCGCTCGCTGTGCGCAGAGGGAGCCTATCAGGTGCGTCTGTGCAAAGACGGCTCGTGGACGACAGTGCTGGTGGACGACATGCTGCCGTGCGACGAGAGCGGCCACCTCCTCTTCTCTCAGGTGAAATTGTTCACGTGATGTGTGGTTGGTGTTGGAAAAAGGTCTGAGCTCAAAACACGGGGAAAAGTCCAGAGTTTTTCAAGGTAACTTTATTTATACCCAAAAGCAAGGTAAATTTGCTCTACAGAAAAATGACCTGCATCTGGCATCCCTTCAAAAAAACACACATACCTAATAAAGATATAAACCTCACTGTAGCACATATATAGTAATTTAATATCTCGAATCAAAAACAAAAACAGTTCTTATTTAATTCAGTGACAGCAACGGGGACAAAGCTATTTTTATAACGCTTTGTCCTGCATCTCGGAAATAGAAACCTCCGTCCTGAGGGAAGAAGCTGAAATTCACCCCTTAGAGGATGGGAACCATTTTTAAGGATTGATAGAGCCATCCTCTGTACCTGCTTGGAGCACAGGGAGGCTAAACAAGACTCCCATCTTTAAGTTATCCTCTTCTTCCTTTGTACTCTGCGGCGCCACCCAGTGGCCTGAATTACACCTTACACAGTGAATTACACATTAAAAGAAGAGGCGATTCCTGTAGCATCATGGGTATTCCTCCATATCTGAGGCATTTCTGTTCAAAGGCACTTTGTGTGATTGCCCGCTGCAGAATTCTGCTTCACCACCAGAGGGCAGCGTTTTATTACTGCCTGAGTTCGTTTTATCTGTGGAAGAATATCCTTTAGATTTTTTACAGGTTTCGACTGCAGTAAAATAATTTCTGTCCACCACACCATACTTCACGGCATTTTGAGTTCAGGCATCAAATGAGCAGCAGTTAGCTAACAGGTGTTTTATCTCTTGGAGTAGGTGAAGAAAACTATCCCTGGATTACTTTAATACTTTAATGCATCTTAGAATTTGGAGGTTTCTAATGGAAGTCCTGACGTGTCCACTCTCAGGTCCTGTTAGCCTGCTTTTGTCAGTAATGATGAGATCAGGATCAGGAACAGGCTTCGGGTTCTCTGATTAGCTGTGAGCACATATGTGCACTTCCTCTTCTCGTCATCATGTTAAAGCTTTGATCCTCTCCATCCTCCCCAGGCCCAGAGGAAGCAGCTGTGGGTGGCTCTGATTGAAAAGGCTCTGGCCAAGCTCCACGGTTCCTACTTTGCTTTGCAAGCCGGCCGCGCCATCGAGGGCCTCTCCACCCTGACCGGGGCCCCCTGTGAGTCGCTGGCCCTTCAGGTCAGTGCCACCAACCCCAAAGAGGAGCCCATCGACACGGACCTGATCTGGGCCAAGATGCTGAGCTCCAAAGAGGCCGGGTGAGACGTTTGTGGGAAGGTTGAAGCGCTCTGAGAGGACGGAGCTGTTTCTTTAAGCTCGGTTAACCCCGCCTCTGTTCGTGCTGCTGTTAGGTTCCTGATGGGGGCGTCCTGCGGTGGAGGTAACATGAAGGTGGACGACGCGGAGTACGAGTCTCTAGGTTTACGTCCGCGACACGCGTACTCTGTGCTCGATGTGCGGGACGTTGACAGCCACAGGTGAGGCTTCGAGGTCGCTCCGTTGGTTACCGTTCTCGTTATCTCATTGTAGTTTAGTAAAAATAATAATAATACATTTTATTTAAAAATAGCGCCTTTCAGAGCACCCAAGGACACTGTACAACAAATAAGAGATATATTTAAAAGAAAACAGAAACTGGAAATATGCACAATAATAAGAGTAACAGATAAAAGTTAAGAGCAGAGGTTTAAAAAACATGAACACAGAAGCTGAGAAACCTGCAGATCCTCCAGCAGTGAGTCATAGTTTACAGCCTGATGCTCAAACTGATTGAATGATAAAATATCTATAACTCACCTGTTTGAATTGGATTAAAGCTGAGTTTAGCGTTAATAGGGGCGTGGCTTCTTTGACTGACAGGTGGATGGGCGTTTGGCCCCCTCAGTAAAAACAGGAAAGACTTCCTTCCATATATGGTGTTGGAAACCTGGTGCCTGGTTTTGGAGTTTTTCCATAAACAACGTTTCAAACATAAATTAATGCAGAAAAATTCACCACAAATCAAAGAAGCCCCGCCTACTCAGCTCCACCCTCTCGTCCACATACAGTCATTCTGTGTCCAAACACTGACGGTCAGACAGACCCGCTGAAGACATCACTCTCTGAGTCTCTGCTTGAAGTTAACAGTTACAAAGTCGACCAAAGACACAGGGCGGAGACAAAGAGACGCCACAAGACCAAAAAGGAGACGCAAAGCAAACTGAGCGCAGAACAAAGTGCAGCAGGGAGTCGAACACCCGGCCACACGACCACACACGAGCGCACATCCATCCTGAACAGACACAAATAAGAGCAGCAGAGACGAACTGCACAAACAGCAGAGACTCGATGTCTGCAGTCGTGTGCCTCCATCAGTCAGAGTGACTTGCTCCTGCGTGGGACAGGCGGGGGTGTTTTCTCCAAGCCTGAGCCCGGAGGCTCTGCTCTTATCATCCATCAAAACTCCCACAGTATAAATGCAGCAGGTCTGCAGACGAGCGCTGCCTTAAGGACACATTCAGAGAACAAATGTTCCTCTCAGCGTCACTCCATTAACCGCTTCATCATTCACACGCATACGGGATGTTTCCTCAAACCTACAGCGGCGACTGCTGCGAGCTACAGGGAGGAGGATCCGCAGGAGGAGGTGGCAGGAGTCGAACTGCAAGAGAAACCCTCGAGGGAACGGGAGGCTGATTACTCACAAACGGATGTTTTTCTGTGGGGTTGGAGGTGGAGTCTGCAGACGCTTGAAAAAGTTTGAAAGAACAGCTCTGCGATGTCTCCGTGGGCGTCAGACCCATCTCATTAACCCAGCAGCGTGAACATTTAGAAGACGTGAAACACATAGCGCACATCACTCTGTGAGTCATCAGCATCTTCTTCATCGTACTCCTCGAAAAATTTCGAACCGCCTCTGACCGTGTGCACGAAGCAGTGATGAAGAGCAAATGTTCACGCATCTTTAAGCTTTTATTAAGCGAGGAGCTGCATACACACTAAATCTGTTCAATTCAATTTTATTCATACGGCGCCAAATTACAACAACAGTCCCCTTCAAAGCGCTTTATATTGTAAGGTAGACCCAACAATCCTATGACCCCCTGTGAGCCAGCACTCGGTGACAGTGGGAAGGAAAAACTCCCTTTTAACAGGAAGAAACCAGGTGGAGGAATCAGTGAAATCTGCCACTTCCAGCTGGTTTTAAACCGTATATCTGAGCATAACCTGCTCCAGACCAGGTCACATGTTCAGCACCAGTTACCATGGTGATATAGCCAGGTTACAAAGGCTCGCCAAATCTGACTTTAAGCTAGCGAGCCTGTTAATCCCATTGTGTGTGTCAGGTTACTGCAGCTGAGGAACCCGTGGGGTCGCTTCTCCTGGACCGGAGCCTGGGCGGACGACTGGTCAGACTGGCCTCCGCAGCTGAAGAGGGAGCTGTGCGCCCAGCGAGCCGAGGACGGCCTGTTCTGGATGGACTTCTGGGATTTCACCAGGTGACGGCAGCAGCGTGTTTTTGATGTCTGCGTTAGTTTTATTCCCGGTCTGAGCAGGAAGACCTAAAAACAGAAGAAAACTTTACTCAGATATAAAGTGGGAAAAACAAAGAGTTCATTTATGACAAATGACAGAATATAAAGTGTTCAATAACATCCACCCCGCCTGCTCTCTCTGCCCTCTTGTGCATTGCTTTGTGTAATCTGTGACTGTAAAGTCGTCCTAACTCTCCTGCTAAAGGCTCTCTGGTGACCTGCAGAGTAAAGAAAAGCATCAAAACGCTGAACAAAGACAGACTCGCTGTTCTCTCCTGTCAGGTACTTTGACTCCGTGGACATCTGCAAGATCCACTCAGACTGGCAGGAGGTTCGAGTCCCTGGCGTTTTCCCCCGAGCCGCCGACGTCCCCGTGTCGGTGGTGTCGATCACGGTGCTGGAGAGGACGGCCATGGAGCTGGCTTTATTCCAGCAGGGCAGCAGGTAGGACGCGCACCTGTGCGGCTTTTCGTAACGTCACCGCTGTCACCTGAGCACCACAGAGGTGATAGTAAAGATAAATAAACGTCAGCGATTAAGTAAAGATGGTAAAATAAAAGAGCCGTGTTTCAGGCGCTGGGACACAGCAGAGAGCCACCTGCTGGATCTGTGCGTGCTGGTGTTTCGGGTCGCCTACGACAGCGCCGGCACGCTGACGCTGGGCCGCCTGCTGGCTCACAGCCGCCGCTCGGTGAGGAGGTTTGTGGGCTGCGATGTCATGCTGGAGCCGGGCGAGTATGCCGTCCTCTGCTGCGCCTTTAACCACTGGCACAGCTGCATCACCGAGGGCGGAGGTAAGGACACGAGCACTCAATCTCCATGATGATTCTATATTTTGCTGCCAAAATATGTCTTCTTTAAAAAGTGTTTTTACTCCAAAGGAGTCGGAGCTGGAAGATGATCCTGGTAGAAAATGTAGTTTAAATGGAGCTTCAACTGGTTCTGAGCAGACACATATCCCCCACATGCTGGTTAAAGCCCTGAAAGTTTACCCAGAATGCACTTTTTAAAGTTCTGGGGTTCGGCTGCTGAACAAAAAGCAGACTGCACCGTGGAGTGGACGTGAATTTGGTTTCGTTGCAGAGCTTAAATCTGTTTTCCAGCCCTGAAACTTTTGTGGCGATGGCACTCATCAGGTCATTAAGACTCAAAATGCAAGAAAAAGCTGAATTTTAGCCCCTCAGTGCAGAGCATCCATGTAAATGCTGCATGAACTCATTAAAGAGTTCAAAAGAGGTCAGAGGGAAACTTGACTCAGGTGAAACTGACTCAGGGGAATGACTCGAGGGAAACTGACTCAGGGGGAAACGACTCAGAGGGAAACTGACTCAGGGGGAAAACTGACTCAGAGGAGAAACTGACTCAAGGGGAAACTTGACTCAGGGGGAAACTGACTCAGAGGGAAACTGACTAGAGGGAAACTGACTCAGAGGGAAACTGACTCAGGGGGAAACTGACTCAGGGGGAAACTGACTCAGAGGGAAACTGACTCAGGTGTACCTGAGGCGTCGCAGCAGGCGTTACACCGTCGTCAGTGAGCTGCTGTTGTGCTGTTTCAGTGAGCTGCGGCAGGTCGGAGGCGCCTGGCTACGTGCTGGCGGTCTACAGCTCCAGACTGGTGATGGTGGAGCAAGTGACGGCCTCCAGCACCACCATCGCCGACGCCATCATCCAGCTGGCAGAAACCAAAGGCGAGCGGCACGAGGTGAGAGCGTCTGAGAGCTTTGAAACATGTTTGTCACCTCTGACGTCCTCAAAGACTGAAACTCATTCAGACGTGTGTAGTTCATTCAGTATTTATGAGCTCTTAAATCTCTCGTCTTCATTTCATCGCTAACAATTTCAAATCGACTTCATTCATCATTAAACAACATCCACCCTGACATTAACAGGAAGTCTCTTTCATTGCTTCAAACTTTGACCTGTAATGGAGAATCACTGTTGTGTGTCAGGGTCGGGAGGGGATGACCTGTTACTACCTGACCCACGGCTGGGCGGGGCTTATCGTCATGGTGGAGAACAGGCACCCGAGGCATCACCTGCACGTGTCCTGCGACTGCAGCGACAGCTTCAACGTGGTGTCGACGCGCAGCAGCCTGAAGACCATCGACAGCATCCCTCCTCTGCACAGGTGCGCCGCACGCCGAGCCTCACGCTCCCACCCGGGAACGCCGCGACATTTCAGCACAACTTTCAAAACGCCGCTGTACTTCATACACACTTAAATCCCAGCTGAGACCTGTTTGTAGTGGGACGCACCGAGACACGCGCCACCGTCCACAAACCTGTGGATCTGACTCTATCGGGAAATAGTCACAACTCAATTATGTGTTAATATTTGATTTCCTCGCTCTGAGAAATTAAAGGGGCGGAGCATGTTTGTACACCTGTGACTCGGCCTGTGTTTGTCTCTCAGACAGGTGCTTGTGGTTTTGTCTCAGCTGGAGGGGAACGCTGGATTCTCCATCACGCACAGACTGGCTCACCGGAAGGCCGTCCAGGCCTCTCTGGGGAACTGGAGCCCCTCGAAGGCGACGCACAGTCCGGCTCTGAGCCCCGAGACCGCAGGTCTGCACCGGCCTCGGCCGCTATGACGAACCGGGAGGAAGCGTCTCGATGGACACAGGAACTCATCGGACCGCTGCCTTGATAGAGAACAGGGTTATTTCCCACGGACACCGAGTCTGTTAGAGTCAGAGCTCCTCATCGGCAGAAGTTATCAAAGTGAGGCTGAAAGAAAACAGGGTTAACATCAGAAAACACTTTAATTCTCCTTAAATCTAAGTTTAAACCAGTCTGAGATTACTTTAAACTGAATTTAATTAAGATGAAATTCATTTTCTACGAACTGTTTAAGGACCAGAGTTCACACATCATCTGTCATCACCAGAATAAAACGCCACGTCTGATTGGATGACACGAACAGAGATGGGGACGCGTCACACAGCGACGTGACGGCTCGTCAGAGCGCGGACGAGCTCAATAATTCAGTTTCTCTTTCTTACAGATGTGGAACAGATGTTCCAAAGGTTCAGACATCATGTTGCTGTTAATCCCATCTGTTGGTTTGAAATGGAAGCAGCCCTCCCATTGGCTGGTTCACATTTGGTAAAAGGATGAGTATTTACTCTTTACTCTACAGACTAATTGCAATCATTCATCCACAGACTTGTTTTTTTATTCTTTACTTTTAAATATTTACGTAGCTTCACATCTGGAGCAGCCAGGGATGAACCACAGGCCTGAGGAGCAGGTGTACCTCCTGACTTCAGTGGGAGTTTCTGTAGCCTGTCCGATCGATCTGTGTTATTTATTATTTCAGAGGTTGAAGCATTGTCTCTTCACAGATCTTTAAAAGTCTCCTGCTCATTTCTGCCTCCATAGTTTTAATCTTGGACCTTCTTTATCTGCTGCTGACTTTTCGTGCAGCCGTTTGAGTTTCTGTCCCTTCAAGGCCCAACTGCCTTTACAGCCGTTTTGTTTCTCATTGGCCAGCTTCTGTAAGCCTGCAGAGGGGCAGCACTTAGTGTCTGTCAGCTGTGCTGTTCCCGTCTGCAGGGATGAAGCTTCTTCTTTTAAGCCAGTCTGGAAGTTAGTGCCGTTGCAGCTCCTTCAACATAAAAGCACGCTGTAACCTTTTCTTCTTCTTCTTCTGGATTATTGCAGGAAATCGTCTCAGTGTGAAATGCTATTTAATACCTTCCCTTTTTATCACTACAAACTGACACTACGTTTGTGAGCAAGCGGTCACGATCAACCTGTGAATGTTCACCTGTAAGGTGGGATTCACACCTGCACGCTGCTCCAACACTTGAAGGTGGAGCTCCTGATTGCTCTCTGCTTTGACTCCAACATTTTGATGCTACTCCCTCAGGATTTCCATATTGTGATTTCATTGGCTAGTGGCAGCACTGGAGTATTTGTATAAGCATGACTTGATTGGCTGACACCAGGTGAAGCTCGAAACACCTCCGTGTGAATCCTGCCTAACATCTGAAAGTGAAGGTCAGAAATTTGGTTTCAGTTTTATCTACATAACACCAAACAACAACAGCCACCCCAGGTATTTGTATTGTAAGCTAGAGACTCTACAATAATACAGAGAAAACCCCAACAATCAAATGAGCAAGGACTTTGGCGACAGTGGGAAGGAAAAACTCCCTTTTAGCAGGAAGAAACGTCCAGCAGAACCAGTTTCATCTGCTCTGACCTCATAGTTGCACAGAGTTTAAATTAAATTTTGAATTTAGTCTAAAGTAACACGTTTTTGTTTTTTGTTTTTTTGGTTTTTTTTGCCCAACTCTGATTGGATGAGCTGGACCTGCAGGTGTCTCCCAGCTCAGGTGTCTGTTAACACTTTGACTTCTGCCTTGGGAGCCGCAGAGAAGTGAACCCGGAGCCGCACCCCCCCCCAGAAACACCACATTTAGAGCAGAAATCACAAGATGCACTTTATCCGTCACATCAGAGCATGTTCAGGTCCACGCTGTCTTTGCTGCAACCACTGACACGTGATTGGAGGGCAGCCGTGGAGATGACGTGGTGTCCGCGTGATGTTTGAATGTTGTGTTTTAGAGTCACAGCGCAGAGCTGCTGTGTGAAGCATTAGCACTTTATCAACTGTATGCTGGAGTCTCTTTTATTTTGAAGGACGTGTAGGAAACAGTTTTATTCTCGTGGATTTAAAACTACCATCGTGTTGACAGAATGAAAACTATGCAAATGTTTGAAAGCTGTCTTTATGCTTCAGAAAAACAAGTCGAGCTCTTTATCTGCAGCTTCTCTTCTCTGATAGCAGGGTGAAAATAGACGTGTATGCATTCTGATGTGGTTAGTGTTACACTGAAGCTTTTTAAACGTTCAGGTTGACTTTTACTCCGTATTCTGTTCGCTCAGTAGCTACTTTAATATAAAGTTTATATACTGTATGCATAGCAGTATGAATGTAAATAACAATAGAAAAAAATATGCGGGTGAACTGAAGGAAATAAACATTTGAAAGTTTTCACATCTTCGTTTTTTCATTTTTTGAGACGCAATCAGCAGAAAAGTCTTTTAATGCAGTATTTCACAATAAACGGTTGCATGGCCCTTTACAGTGTGGAGAATTAAATACACAGAATTATCTAGAGTTCTTTTCTATAATTCGTGAGTGCACTAACACCCATCACTGTATCACCTTTGACACCACAATATTTTAAAATCCACTGATTCCCAGGAAAGTTCTGGATCAACTCTTCCTAGTACATCTTTGCTGTACAATCACTTTGATTTTATTTTTTAACCCTTATTTATCAATATATATTTAAAACTAAATGTGCCGAATACGTTATGAGCCACTTCTTCTTCTTATATATGCATTAATGTAGAGCTTAATCGATTATTTCTGTCCCTAAGTAATCTTAAAACGGGACTGAGAACCCATAATCAGCACGTTATGGCTTTAACACGTATTGTAACCTTTATTTTTACATATTTGTAGAATTAACAAGACCGAATTAGTTATGAGGAGGTTCTTCTTTATATGCACCATTTGACGTACTGACATGTGTCACTGAATTACTTTGATGATGAACAAATCTTAAAACTCGAGTGATTCGAAGGCGAGTTTGGCAGCGTTCCGATTCCCGCCCCTAGTACACCACGGCTGTAATGTGAGTTTTGTTAATAATTTTAAACATTTATTTATTGACATATTTGCAGAATAAACGGCGCCGAGTTGTTTTGTTTGTCACGTACTCATTACTGTCCCTAAATATATCAATAAATTACTTTCAGAGAGAAAAATTATTAAAATGCGAAATATTTTAAGGTATTTTCTGTCCCAAAACCCACTTCCGGACGTGATGACGCGTTTCTCATCACGCTCCAAACCAAAACATCTGTTGGCAGCTCGTAGCTGTGAGCTTTATCTTGGCGTTTTATTTGATATAAAAACGGCATATTTACACGTCACAGAGGAAGCGTGAGCCCTTCGAGGTCCAGGTGGTTTTCAGCCTCCTCAGGTGTGTAGCCGTGACGCTCAGGTACGCTTTTAGCTAGCGCTGGGTGTGTGTGTGTCGCATCTGCTACAGCTAGCTGTGCTGGCTGATAGCAGACTTCGTTGATTAGCTTCATAGCCCCGTTTTAATTAAACAACGTGGCTGGAGACCAAAGCTCTGAAGAACCAGGTCAGAAAAAGAGGGAAAGAAACATTAGCATGCTAGGGCTAGCTTCACATTAGCATTTCCTCCTGTATGGTGTGGGCGGTGAGAGCTCAGAGCTCCGTGAAAAACGGGTTAGTCATGTTTTCAGTGTCTGTGGTGATGCGCAGTAAGAACTAATAAATGCACTCAAACTGACATGGTAGGATTACAGGTGTAATTTTGTTTGCCTGTGCACAGTTGTTTACCTGCACAAACTCAGTAATCAAAGGTACAGCATTGTTGCATCTAGTCAATAATATCCTGATTGTGTAAGCAAAGTCTGATCTCATCGTCCAGTCAGGACAGGATGCTGTTCATTAGGATCTAGCTCCTGCCAGGTAAAGGTACCAAACATCCTCTCACACTGACTCACTCTCTGGATCTTTCCCCTCCAGTTTCCTCTTCCTCCTGTTGGATCCCAGTGTCAGGATAGGGAAGCAAAGCAAAGCAGCAGCTGCTGGTGGTGCAGCCGGCTCGGGTGACAAAATGTCCGAAAGTCCGGAGAAGGATGCCTCGGTGTCGGCTCAGGAGTTGAAGGAGCAGGGAAACCGTCTGTTCCTGAGCCGCAAATACCTGGAGGCCGCAGCCTGCTACACCAAAGCCATAGTAAGGGTCGGGCGATGGGGAGCGTGCTCGCCTTCCTCCCTCTACTCATATAAACACACTTTTCCCGACTTCCATGATTTTCTCTGAGAAACCGAGGAATCAGTCTGATCAGTGCCGCCTCCTCCGTGTGTCTGTTCTCCATCAGAGCCACAGTCCCTCCATCCCGGCGTACTACACCAACAGAGCGCTGTGCTACGTGAAGCTGCAGCAGTACGACAAAGCTCTGGCAGACTGCAGGCAGGCTCTGGAGCTCGACAGCCAGTCGGTCAAAGCACATTTCTTCATGGGACAGTGTCACCTGGAGATGGAAAACTACGACGAGGCCATCGGCAACCTGCAGAAAGGTAGGGATTTAGAACACGCCTGCTTCTTTTTCAGAAATGAAGAAAGCGAGTCTGCAAACAGTGGAACAGTTTTACAGTAATGCTCCTCTCATTATCTGCAGTCTCAGCAAATTCTGAGAATCTGCGGCCCTCAGGCAGCACTGCATTAAAAAACCTCTTTGTTTCCTTCTCCAGCTTATAATCTGGCAAAAGAGCAGCGGCTGAACTTTGGCGACGACATCCCCAGCGCGCTGCGCATCGCTAAGAAGAAGCGCTGGAACAGTATGGAGGAGAGGAGGATCAACCAGGAGAGCGAGCTGCAGGCCTATCTCACCAAACTCATCCACGCCGAGAAAAAGAGGCAGGGCCCGAGAGAAACGAGCCGTCGACCGTTTGGTCGCTGTAACGAGGGCTCCTGGAGTAAAGTGTGTCTGTCTGTGTGGTCTGATCCTCAGAGAACTGGAACGCTGCAGACAGAAGCAAGAGGAAAAATCCGACGACAGCAGAGTCCGTCAGCGTCTCAACGAGATCCACACCAAACACGTAGGCTTTTATTGTGAAATTCTCCTCAGTGACATCAGGAGCGTCCTGATAGTGCAAAACATTAAAGCTGAAATGCTGCCAGCAAACAAATTCTGATTTATATTATTTATTTATCTGCAGGACAAATACCTGTCGGACCTGGAGGAGCTGTTCTGTCAGGTCGATGAAAAGAGGAAGGTCAGTGATGGTCCGCCGTGTTTTCCTCAGTCGGACGAGTCCTCGTACAACGAGCCGGTTTAGGACAAATGAGTTTGTTTTGGTGTTTGACAGAAGCGTGAGATCCCAGACTTCCTGTGTGGAAAGATCAGCTTTGAGTTGATGAGGGAGCCGTGCATCACTCCCAGCGGCATCACCTACGACCGCAAAGACATCGAGGAGCACCTGCAGGTAAAAAATGCCCCAACTCGCTCACACCTGCTTTCATTGACTCATTTTCAGCACGAAAAACTCATCAAATCCTGATTTTACCCGCGAATGAAGTTTAACTGAAGTCTGTAGTATTGTGATGACGACAGGACGCACGGCTCTCTGTTCTGTTCCCACAGAGAGTCGGACATTTTGATCCAGTGACGCGCACGCCGCTGACCCAAGATCAGCTCATCCCAAACCTGGCCATGAAGGAAGTCATCGATGCTTTTATTTTGGAGAACGGATGGGTGGAGGACTACTGACCCAATTTGTTCAATTCAGCTTTATTTTAAACATCCCAGTCACAGCAGCCGTCACTCTGGGAGTTTTTATCATGAAAGGTAAAGACAGCTGCTGCGTGAGGTCAACGGGCCAATCATCTCCTCTTTATTTCCTGTCCTGTTCCAGTGCTGGATGTTCGTATTAAACATGACGTTCGGTGTGTGCGCTAATCCCCGTGAGCCAAAAAGTTTAAACTGCAGATGTTTTTTTTCTTGCACCGCTGAGCTAAGTGGGCTAAAGTCCACTCTCGAGTCCAGTTAATGAGCAGAGTGGGTCCACTTTAGTGTCCACAGAAACAAAACCCACCACTTCTGCTTTAATCTGATTAAATACAGACTGAAAACGACGCCCTGCGCTGATGGCGTAGCAGTCTGAGAACCACATGACCACAATCACGCTGCTGCACAACAATCAGAGGCCCAGGCTGCGACGCGAGGTGAGAAAGGAGATCAACAGGTGTGAAATCATCACTCGCCAGCCAATCAGATCTCTGGAAAAAGGACGTAGGAGAGAGCGCTGAGCCGACACCGTTCTTTATGACTGTACGCTGCTGAAGGTATAAACATCGCAGGTTAAACTCTGGTTTTACTGGTTCGCACCCACGTCGCAGCTCCGAACGCTTCGGCTGTAGATCTTTAATGTTTGAGGAGACGAAACTGGAAAGTCCTGAAAGGTGGTGTTTGTCAGGCCAGCGCTGCATTCACTGACACCTGAGCAAACATGAGACATCGCACCATGCTCGGTATTCTGTACGCCGGCCCGTTTTCACTCGTTTCATCCTCGATGTTTTTGCTATTTTATCGTTTCTGCTTCAGATCAATCAAGTTAAACCTGCGCGGTTGTTTAGTGGGAGCAGATTTCACAGGGAACGGTTTTCAGATCCAGGTGATGCGACGTCTGTACGGGAAAACTGATCAACCTGCCCATGTTCAGTAGAAATAAATGTGAATAAATCTTTCGTGTTTTTGTATTTCAGCCTCAGTTATTCGTGCTCGTCTCGCTCAGTGACCACAAACAATCCAAAACCAGCTCAAATAAAAGACAAAATGAGAGAAGCTCCAGAAACACTCACATCTTCAACCTCAGCTCTTTTTGTTTTACCCGGTGAGAAGCAGACAGCTACGGAGGCCTGCAGGGGCCAAACACATTAAAGGTCTTGCATGAATAAAATAAATGGGCACATTGAGAACGATTGCATCAGATTGTTAAACTGTATATAAAAGATGGAAATGATTACTGACTCCGCCCACATCGGGGCGTCTGTATTAGCGTTTTGGCTCCAGATGGGTGGAGATTTCACAGCTGTCACATGCTTTTTGCATTTTGGAAGAAATTTTCCACGAGTGCTTCCCTGACCGTTAGAGGCAGCCGGAGAATGGGAGGGCTCAGTGTTAGAGTCATGTTACAGTTTGTTCAGATGTTCGGAATAAAAACATTTAAAACAAATCCAGTTTAGTTCGTCTGTTTAATTCCCAGGATTTTAAGTACTTTATTGCTTCTCCGTGACCCCTCGGGGTCGCCGTAAAAAAGTTAACATGACAGAAAATCAAATCTCATCAAAAAAAAGATGTTTGCATTTGATTTCAAGTAAAACCTGTTGCAGCACACGGTGATCAGAGCTGAATTCAGCTTCCAGAGTGCAGAAACACAGCGTGATGGTCAACATTACAACAACCTGCTAAAATAAATGAGTAATCTGTGATTGTGATCCACAGAGGTCTGCAGAATTAAACTGCAGACATCCTAAAATGACACAAATCTGTTATTTGCGGTTGAATCCCTCCGTGAGTCAGTTTTCTTAAAATGTGCCAGGAAATCCTTAAAGACGTCCTGAGAGCTCAGCCCAGGAAGGTGGAGATGAAGACGCTTGTGTCCAGGTTTAGAGTGGCGTGCCACCAACGGTCGGGGAAATACAGCACCTGGAGACAAACATGCAGAAACGCACCGTTAGCGCCGCGCTCACGATCCAGTCGTTCAAATGTAACAGGCGGCGCTCCGAGGGCTCAGTTTTAGAGCCGGTCTCCCGTCAGGGGCTGGAAAACCTCCAGGACGGCTGAAAACTTCAGAAGCATGAGGTGCAATTAAATGTCCAAGTAAGGAAACAGCCTGAGTATCACTGCTCTCACATCTGAAGCGTTGCTGAATCCCGTCTCTCTTAAATCAGCTGTTTATCTGTGGCGTTCTGAACGGGTCACTGCTTAGTTCGCCGGCGTCTGCGGTCAGAGTCCAGACGAAGCTTTTTACTTTACACACATGAACTAACTTTCGTGTTTTTACTGAAACGGACGCTGAAATAAAGCGACCCTGCTGTGTGTGCTTGGGGCGAGTCGTGAGCAGGTTGGGCGGCGTTACCTCTCCGGGTCGGATGGTGCACTCCAGCGGGGCCTCGTCCTCCAGCAGGTTGGGGTACGTTTCTGTGACCCAGGACAGGGTGGTGCGGTTCGGGTGGAAGTGAGGCTCCTGATCGGGCGGGTAGAGGAACCACCGCTGTGCGAGGAGTAATTCAGAGGTTAACAGGAAACGCATCACTAAGTGAGGAAGCAGTTTTAGTTTACTTCAGTTTTACTTTGAAAATCTGACACTGAAACGCTGCCTCATGACCCGCAGATTTAAGCACGCATTTACACAACCACACCTCATCCACTCTGTTACTGGAAATCCAGCTCTGAATGGCTGAGATGCACCAGAGGGCGCCACATGTCCACAAAGCCACTCCCCTCCCCACACAGAGCCTCTTTAATTAGTTTAATCAAACAGCTGGTTTTCTCCCACCTTCCTTCCATAGATGACCTCGGAGTATCCCGGGCCGTGCCAGTGGAAGGGGACTCCTGTTCCAGGACCTGAAGAAGAAGAAAGCGGAGCTGCAGTTTGGATTCCACTCTCGGATATTTCTGAGACTTTCATTTTAAAAGAATTTTCACAGTAATGGTCCTAAAAAAATCAGATTATCATAGAGAATTATGTATCACACGAGTCCTGTCAGGTTTATCAGATCTTTTTCCTTCACTTGATTTTATGTCATTCCTCGTTTGTCTGCCGCTCTCTGACCTGCGATGCCGAAGCTGTACGCTCCGCTGGTGAGCGGCAGGACGTACGGCGGAGACTCGTAGTGCTCGAAGAGACTCTGCCACTCGGTGAAGTTATTGTCCCCGAAAAAATACAGCGTGTCTGCAGGAAAGTCAAACATTATTCAATAAATCTCACAGCATAAAAGTCACAGCAGCGTCCAGTCGAAGAAAACAGACGGAAACAGATTCATAAGGAAAACAAACCATGTTAATAAAAGCAAAATAGTAAAAATAGAAAACATTTAAAATAAACAAAGTCTGACAGAAAATTCAGACTAAAGTAAAAAAATAAATAAATAATTAAACAAGAGTAAAATAAAACTAAAAAAAATGAAGTCAAATAAGTTTTAAAACTAAATAAATAAATATAAGACATCACTAAATGAGAGGAAATACAAACAAAACCAAAAAATATGAATAAACTAAGAAATCCTTTTTAAAAAAAGCAAAGTGACCAAAAATGTTTAGAAATAAACAAAAAATGACGAAACCTAAAAAACTTGAATAAATGAGAGAAAACAAAAAAACAAGTTTAACAAAGCAAAGCCAGAAACAGGAAACCAAACGAGAGCGTTTCCTGAACACCTGTCCCGGCGGCGGCGGCTTTAAGACTCACCGCTGCCGAGGGCGTCCGCAGACTGAGGCCTCAGAAACTCGTCCACGTACTCCTGGAAGGGAACGTCCACTGAAACACATCAGCACAGTCAGGAGCAGGAAGTGAACAGGTGTGTCTGTGAGGCCACACAGGTGAGACGGGCGTACCTTTCCTGTAGGAGTAGGTGTTGGCCGTGCTGAGCCTCACTCTGTGGGCGCCGTACTCTCTCAGTAAGCTCGACTTGGAGCACAGAAGCCTGAATTTCTGAAACAGATCCAGCGTGACCTTTCAGGCTGTTCACCTGTGCTCACCTGCCTGCAGCTCAGTCATGTGATGCTTACATGTAGATAAGATGTCTGTTTTCAATACGTACGGTGTTGTCAGTGAGGCCTCTGAGGATGACCGGCCTGCCGTACGCGTACCTGCAGGAAACACAGTTGAAGGTTAGTGCTGCTGTTTACACGGTGATGTCATCAGTGAATGTCTGCTGAGAAACAGCAGCTTACTCACGCACCTCTCCATGAACTGCTGGTGCGAGAGCGACGAGCCGTGCAGCACGTCGATGTTACACCGACCTTCATCCTGAGACCTGACGTCTGAGGCCGAGAACCTGAGCAGAGCGGGGCGCGCAGGTAAGAGCAGAGCTCACCTGTGGAGCTGCGTACATGCTCTAACATTCATTCAGCAGCTCCTCAGTCATTTAAATCTGTCTCCCTCGTTCCACCTTAAAAACCCAACATTCATGTTACATTCTGCTGATGACCTCCAGGATGCGAGGAGGAGGAGCTATTAAATAAAACTGAGGCGTAGACTCAAACCCAGAGATCGTCCTTTTATAACATTCCTCAGACCTCATAGCAGCCATGTTATTGGTCACATGATGTCATTCAAAATGCTCCAACAGCACAAACACGGTCCAGGTCAGGTGAAGCTAGCAGACAGCTACACCTGTGTCTCCATCCACCTGTCAGTCACAGAGGCCACGCCCCTAATAATGCAAACTTTAAATAGGTGAGTTATAAACACAGGTGTTAGCTACAGGCTGCAAACATGTTTATTTCTGCTGGAAAGTTTTAACCTGGAGTCTATGGGGGCTGACTCACTGCTGCCTCTCCTGGACGTTGGATGAACTGCAGCCTCTCAGCAGCTCACTAATCTGAATCCACAGTTTATCTTTAAACGATAAAATGATGTTCTCGTTTTCATTTCCACCCTCGGATCTGCTGAAGTGCTGCCGGAAGCTAAGATGGGAAAATCTGAAATTGTGCTTTTATATTTTATTAAACAATAATAAAAATAACATGAAATGATTTTATTTATTTATCTGTGCGGGGACAAAATCAGCTGCCATATGACGTATTTAGGAGCACGCGGACAGTTTAATACGGTTATATTATCGTAGTCATAATCGTCTCTGACCAGGCTCGTTCTGCATGAAACGTATGACGTCATCAGTGCCACTGTAATCGCTCCTCGTGGACACAGCTGTTAACTTCACAGGTTTTTGAACGGAGTCTGGTTGAAACTACAGCGAGGGTTGTTTGAATGAGTTTTATGCAAACGTGTCAGGCTGAAGCAGAGTGTAGCTCACCATCCTCCTCCATCCTCATCTTCCTCCTGCTGCTGCAGCTGCGCAGTCACTGCGGCGGTGAAGAAGATAAAAGCGAGCCGCACCGCTTTGATCTCCATTCTCCCCAAAAGCTTCCGCGAGCTTCGAGCGAGCTCAGCCCCACAAATCAGCCTGTTTCTCCTCAGTGTCCCACATGAACGTCAAGTAAGCGCCGACTCCTACTTCCTGGACGACAGCCAATCAGAAAGGACCACATTAATCAGACCGGTTGATGCGTTCGAGGTGCGTGGAACGTTTGAGCGCCTCTGTAGATCGGTTTGTTTGTAGTCCTCAACTCTTTATTTATTTCAAGAGGCCCGTTTCCCTGCAGCACTGCTGTGACCCACCTGGAGCCGGTGACCTTGATAAAGTCCTGCTGTTTGTTGCTGCTCTCATGCAAACAGCACAAATTACAGCACATCTATTTGCATTCTTGTTTGACTAAACAAAAAATTTGCTTTCTAATCTGAGACCTAACCATCGACTGCACACCTCCAATTTCTTCCTCTATAATCTGTTTCCTGTTAGCTGCTCATTTGCATTTTCTATTTCTTGCATTGTGTTGTTCCAATACACCTGCTTTACATCTGATAAATACAGACTGCAGTATTTAAACATCAGCCGCCTGTTCAGAATGAAATTAAACACATTACACATCAGTTGAAATGTCTCATGATTCAGAGTCAAACTTGTTAGGATACAAAACCAAAGCAAGAACCATAATTCTATATTTATTACCATGTCACTATTTATTTAAATGAGTTAATCAACATGTAGCTGTACTGATGACAGAGGAATGTATATTTATTATACTCAAATAAATAAAAGGATTTCTAGAGTCTTAGCTTGCAAATTAAACTCAGGACTGTAAGTGCAGTCAGAGCCGTGAATGTGTGGACAGGGACAGCTTTTGAGTTTTACACTCAGGATGCGATTAGAGTTCAGACCTTCAGCTTCAGACCTTTAACACAAATGTTCAGCAGTTACAGACATTTTTATACGCAGCACCGTTTCAGAGACTCGGACACGAATGAAAAATTGAGCGATGAGCACTTGATGGGCAGGTGAGGCCTGTCGTCATCACACAGCTGAAACATCCATGAAAGTTAAAATCTTTGAGGACCAACAGAAACATCTTCCTTAAAATGATGCGAGCTGCAGAAGAACAAAGTCTGTTAAATGAAGAAAAATTGGAAATATAAAAGAAAAGTAAAAGAAAAGAAGAGTGAAAGTAAAACTGCAGAGAAAGAAGGAAATGCAGAGGAGTGTTCACAGGCGTGCTCACAGGAAGACGTGCATCTTGCCTCCAGGCTGCAGTCAACACAGAGGCTTTTCTGTTTCTCACTCTGCTTATTGATTCAACAACTCGACAACCTCTGTTAACGGCCAGCAGAGAGGGCCACACATCATCTAAACATCTTCGTAGCTTCATAACCTGCCGTGGACAGACAGAAACTGTGATTACATCTACAAAAACACCCAGCAGCGCCTCTCCCTGCTGACAGCAGCTTTCCTATAGAAAAAAACAAAACAAATCAGAGCAAAATAACCAGCCAATCATAAATCAGCACAGTCATACGTGACCTTTCACCTCATCAGGACCCCGATGGAGTCCCTGCAGCTTGGACCCATAAAGAACTGCTGTTAACGTGATTAACCACTCGAAACGACATTTGATCTTTCTGATCGATAATGACGTTTATCTGATTTTGATGATCTGCAAAACATCAAACAGTTTATTTAACAGGGAGCCACAGACGGTATCAAAGTATGAAGGCCACACAAAAACCCACAGTTTAACAAGTCTTTAACAAGTACACACCGAGAACAGCAAAGAGGCGGAGCCTTTTACAACAGGTAAACTCAGGTGTGGTGGAAGAAAACAGCAGTTGTTCCTGTGATCACCATTAAAACCTTTACTGGGAAAAACTGCCGCGCGTCCTCCATCAAAGCAGCCGATGAACAAAGTCTGACATGAAGGAAAACAAACTTCCATCCACCGCTGTTTGTTACAGAGAAACATCTGCACCAGGCTCCAGGAGCTTATTAAAGCTGATTCATGTTTAGATGATACAGCTCAATGACGGCATATTTACACGGAAGCAGCAAACAGGGAGAGTCGTGAGGTGTACTAGACCAATGTTAGGGTTTTCACAACATTTTTCAGATTAAAAGTCAAATAATATAAAATACTGTATTCATTTAAAAACATCCTTTAAAAGAATAAATGTTATTTTAATATGACATGTACATACAAGCAAAGCATTGTTTTGAAAGATTTTATTTTCAGTTAAACTTTTAAATTGGAAACCAGTTAGAAGTTCATTTTCAAAGACCTGCTTTTTGTCCTCTGATATTCCTGTGTTGCTCATTAATAACACAAAAGCATTTCTTATTTGATTCCTCAATTAATTGATGGATTACACTGAAAGAATGGACAGCTGCAGCCTTACTTCAGATTGAGGTCAGCAGCTGTATCTTACTTGCAGAGAGAGGTTCAACTCATTTAACATGGAGGACCCAGTCAGCTGACGCTCGCTGGGCGAGTGATGCTTTCCTCTTCCTGCCAGTGTGATGACGTTTCACTGCACATTTAATCCCTCACATGTCTCCGTTTGACAGAGAGAAACATCATTTCATCAGTGTGTCCCAGTTTTTCCACATGATGCAGAAATGTGTGAAATTATTAATAAAGTTCTGACAGCTGCCCAGAAATTGTTAATCTTTTATTGTTGTTGTTTTTATTCTTAGACCCATGGTCTAAAAAACAAACAAACAAAACAGCAACTTTTCGGTCATGTAACTGTGTGACATGTATGAACGCCTGCATGGAAGGAGCTGTGAAATGCATGAAAATGCCGTTAAACTCCAAAATTGATGCTTTCCTTCACATTTTCTCAAGATATCCAGCGTCCCTCCCAAGAGGCTTTGCGGGGCCAATTCTGGCCACAGGGCCTCGCGTTGAAAAACGAGGGTTCACTAAAAATTGGTTCCACACATAGCGGGTGTGTGGCAGTGTGGGCTTAGCTGTGTTCAGTGGAAGCATCTTCCTCCTCTGACTGTAGTTACTGTGACTGTCATGAGATGCAAAACTGAAACACTGAGGGAGGCGGAGCACAGCTCAGGGTCAGCCACTACTTTTTGGTTACTGTTGCTGCTGCACGTCACTTTATGATGGGTGAGGTTTTATCTAAGGAGCCGCTCACATGATGATGTCACCAATGGTCGACTTTGTTTCCGAGGTAACATTAGTTACTCTGATGAAGGCCAAAGTCCCACATCCTCTCGATTATCATGCAGAATGAAATGATTACAATACATTATTTTACAGCTGCACACAGAATCCTGCACGTTAGGAAAATATGTTTTATTTAATAGAATAAAAGAGCACAGATATCACACCAGACAGTTTTTCACTAACATACCAAACAAACAGCAGCAGGTTTAAACACAGGCCACACAAATATCCCCAATTATTTTAATAAGATGTGCAAAAGTTAATAATAGTAAATATTCCTCCTGTTTATTGGACTTAAACAGAAAATCACAGTTACTGGCACTTGGCTCAAACATTTTAAAACATTAACGTTAATCAACAAAAAGAGATAAAAAGAGATAATAAAGTCAATAAAATGGCTTTAGTTTCTTCATCATGGTTGTACAAAGACTGATTTGTGTTTGTGCAGGTCTGAGATCAGCTTGGTTCTGTCTGAGATTCCTTCATATTTAGAGTTTTTCCTCCTCGCTGTCTCCGAGTGTTTCTCTCTGCTTCGACTGCTCTGAGACAGTTCGTGTTTGATTGAGCACAATGTAAATAGTGTGTGAATGTGTGGATGACGTAAAGCGCTATACAAATACAGGCCAATTACCAAATAAGATGAAAGTGAATTAAATCGTTTCAGAATGTGCCCCAGAGGGGCCGACATGGCAGCCTCGCCTCTGTCAGTCTGCCCCAGGGCAGCTGTGGCTACAAGCTGCCTCCACCAGGGCGTGAATGTGAGAGTGGATCAAAAGTGGTATTGTAAAGCGCTTTATAAATGCAATCCATTATTATTATTATTGTTAATATTATTATTCTAAATATAATCATTGGTTGATTTTATATATTAAATTCTAAAAATCAAAGAATACAACAATAAGATTTTTTTAAATGTTAAATTTTAAAATGTCATTTTATCAATTTATATTTGATATATTCTGTCTTTAAATTGTGAAAATATATTTTAAAATCTTAATAGTTTTTTTTACACCAGTGTTTTAGCTAAACATATTCAAGATAAGAGTTGTTGTAGTTATTATACGGCATTGCTAATTTCTTCCTTTTGATGTATTCTATCATACTGGGGTTTTTAAATTAAATTATTATTTGCTATATATATATATATATATAGAAATAGAAAGTGATGGATGGCACAGTTTTAATTCAACGAAAACATTAATCAAATATAAAATAATTCTGCTAAAGCTTTTTTCAAATTGTTCTTTGAAATCATTTAAAGACTGATTTTCTTTTTCAAAATAAATGTATTTACAACAGTGCTCAGGCTCTATTGACGTAAAATATTTTATTTTTTATAAATATACATTGTTAATCAGTGATACTTAAAAGTTTAAAGGTCATTATTCTGCACTTAAGTTCATGTAAGCATTGTTTTTAATGGAAGTAATCAATCTTTTTTTTTTGGGGGGGAGGGGGGGGATTTGTTGTTTTTTAATCTGTTTTAATGACTTGACAAACAAAAATAAAACCAAACATTCCCAGGATTCCCGGTTTGTCTGATGTTATCAAAACAGCAAAGTGAACTGGAAACAAGTGTGAACTGTTGAGCCTTCAGGGAACATTTTTCTGTTGTCTGAGAAACTGATGATGAAAATACAGTTTTTCCAGTGATGTTCAGCAGAAATGATGCATTCCTATGAGAGGACAAAGAGAGAGAAGAGGATGGGGAGCAGCAGAAGAACTGAGAGGTAGATGAAGTGAGCCGAGGAGGGCACAAAGGTGATGAAGCCCGGCTGGTTGGAGGTGATCTGGCTGTTGATCCAGGACTGGTACTGTGATACCCGAGTGTAGACTCCTGGGAAATTGGGCTGAGCGCAGCCTATCCCAAAGCTCACCACTCCAGCCTGGACCCAAACGGAGCTGTTTTTAACCACCAGTGGGCCTCCAGAGTCACCCTGCACACATCAGACATGGTGGTTATAGCACCAGCAGCCATGTGGATGCATATATGGATATATTTACATCTGTGTAAAAAGTGACAATATAAATGTATTATATTTGTATAATTGTGTGTGTGTGTGTGTAAATATCAGTCTGCCAATGAATTTGCTAACATTTGCGAGACACAATTTTCACCAAAAAAAACACAAATGTTAAATTCTGTATGAAAAAGATAAATCAATCAATTACCAATCAATCAATGGTAAACATTGTTGTAGTTCTTGTTACTGTGTTCATTTTTATATAACATAGTTTTTTAAGCTGTTTTTTAGCATTTACACTTAATTTCATTTATCTAATTTATGTTAATAACTTTAAAATAATCCGATTCCTCAGACAGTTTAAGTTGAGCCAGTTTTTCAATGTGATGAAAACATCTGGACACAAACTCAGTCAAGTCAAACTGATCTTCACAGTACGACAAAAGTGTGAACAAATGCATGTTTCATATTTTGGGTCCTTCAGAGGTTCCACTGTCTGCGTTGTGATTGGTGCTTTACATCGTGGCTTCAGACTCATTTGTAGGTGTTCACATGGACCCACACTCACCTGGCAGGAGTCCTTTCCTCCCTGAGTCACGCCGGCACACATCATGTTGCTTGTGATTCTACCATTGTAGGCATCGTTACAGTCGGTGTTGGACACGATAGGGATGCTCACCTCCTGTAGAGTCCCAGGGGAAGGAAGGGAAACTGAAAAAAACCAAACAGAAATGAGCAGTTTGAGGCATGAATCCACCACGTGTGAAGAAGATGCTTGGATACTGTCATATATTTATCTTTGATATCGTTAGAGTTGGTAGATCAACACTTGCAGCCTGTGTACACTCATTCACTCACTTCTGTTAAACTTGCTGTTTTAGTTAGCCTCAGAGTTGCTCTTCAAAATGTATTTACTTACATTTCCTGCAAAGTCAGAGACCTACTGTCATGGCCCCCGTGTCTGCCCGGACGGCTCCACAAGGCCACATGTGTTTCTGTTTACTTTCTCCTCATTACGGGCTCCCGCCCTTGGCTCACACACCTGCTCTTTTCCCGGACCCTGCGTGGGTACCCGCCGTGTGAATTTGAGTGAAGAGGAGGGCGAGTGTAAATTAGATTTTTCCCTTGGACCCCCACAATTCCCCCACTGTATATATCTGCACTTGGTGATTGTATAAATAACGTCATTCCTTGTATTGAACTCTGCTCTGTGCTTGGTTCCTCCCCTGAATGTGACAGAATCATCCAGCCAATGAAATGGACTCATTGGCTGACCCAGCAGCTTCCGCTCCTATCCTCGCCGCCTTGACAGCAATTTTGGAGCGCCATGAGCAAATGTTTGCTCGCACCAGAGGTGAGCTTTCAAGCCTTAAGCATATCAGCTGTCAACTGCATCATAAAGATCCAAGAGTAACTGCTCTAAAGAGTTTTGGCGCACAGGAGTTACCGCAAACACTGACCTCATTAAGATCACATGGATACGCCAGGAAAAGAAGAAAAGCAGAAGCTGAGTATGATCATAATCCGACTATAACAGTAAAGGTTAGTAACTGTCGCTGCTCCAGTTCTTACCGCCGTCTCGGATGTCGCCCCAGCCGGTGACCCAGGTGGTCGTCTCTGCAGGGAAGTTGCTGCCCTCCTCCGCCAGACACACAGGTCGGATGTAGTCCGTGAAGTCAACAGTTGAGGACAGCCGCAGCAGTGCGATGTCATTGTCGTTGGAGTTGGAGTTGTATTGTGAATGTATGATTATCCGTGACACTGACCGGGAGACCCCATTAGTATTAGTGCTTTGCAGTGACTCGTATCCGAGGTGAACGGTCAGTTGTGATGGGGTGCTGAAAATAGCAAGAAGTACTGACTGTTAGTGCTTAATTGATAGTTGACAGGTGAAGAGGGTGGGTCATATGACAGGGTGAGAGCTTACTTGGGGAAACAGTGGGCAGCAGTCAGGATCCATTCATTGTTGATCAGGGAGCCTCCGCAGAAGTGGCGACCGGATGCTTGCAGACTGACCTGCCAGGGCCACGCTCCCGCAGGAGCATCCTGGCCTCCTACGATCTTGGTGTTAAGTGGAGCTTGTCCACAAACTGTAGGCAAAGACATTTATGCACAAAGCAAAATTACTCTCAAACGTTCAAAGCTGGAGAGCAGCTCCAGACCAGATAACGCCGTGTCGGCCCATAAACGAAGCACGAGTGAATCCAGAGGTCAACAAATGAAAGCTCATCAGTCTGTCCCGTTTCAATGAGCCCAAATTTCAGGAACATCTTAAGAGACTTTGGAAAATTCAAAATCAAAACTTAGTGTATTTCAAATTCCTCTTCATAATGAATAGAGGAATATGGGACATCAGACTACTTGTTCTTATTGTTTAACGATGAAGAACTGCCGTACGAGGAAAAAAACCCCTGAGAATAATACAGCTGAAAAGCATTTTATTCATACATGTTCTTATCCATTACTATTACCTACTATGTTGCAAGGTTTGTGTCCTGGCCATTTGTCCCAAACTGCATCTCAGTAAAAGAAATTCAATTTGCATTTTATTTATTAGAAACTCCTCTGCACACACACGGCTCTACACTTGGTTTACAGTGTTCAGAAAACACAGTTTATAGCCGTGTGTGTGTGTGTGTGTGTGTGTGTGTGTGTGTGTGTGTGTGTGTGTGTGTGTGTGTGTGTACTCACCATCGAGCTGTGCGTTGCTTCCTGTTTAGAGACAATAGAAACAGAGACATGATGTATTTGTTAGATCTCCGTGAACTGAACAGGCTGGTTGTTCTTAACGTGCTGTTAAGGTTTCTAGGTGGAGCTGGAATGTGCAGCATGAAGCCAAACAAAAGACGGAAACGATGTCTTTGTCTTTGTCTGAGACAAGAAAACGATGATCTTGAAAGACAGGACATATCAGGAGGCCACAGTAAGAACACGAATGCACAGAGAGGTTGTGGTATGAAGAAGCGCGGCATTAAAGATTTTATCTTTCCACAGTTGATGGTTTGACTGACAACAAATAGCCCCATTACCAGCCTACTTTTGAATGCGAACATTTACAAAACATTCTGCTTTATGCTTCATTAAATTTCAGAGGGAAATCAGCTACTTCCTGTCATTGTGGAGATTTTAAAAGACTGTCAACAAAAACATTAAATTTAAAGAATGAAAAACTCGATCTCATTGCAGGCCGACATGGGCAACTCTTTCTTTTTTTACTCATCTGCGAACCCAACAGGAAGTCGTTGAATAAACACTTTGTTCACCAGCGTGGTGTTAAGAGGAGAACGACCCTGGAAATGTCACATTTAACACATCACTGAAATACAAAAGTTTAAATAAAGCTTTCAATGAACTTTTGTATTTCCATAGTCGGCAGTTTTTCTCTACAGTACTTCCTGTTTTAATGGTCACATGGTTTTTACCAGTGATGCTCGGTCTATACCGATATGGGGTCCATGCTAGTGTAACCAAGGCTGATTTCTGCTTGCAGTGACATAATTATTGTTTCTGATCCAACCTGTGTGAGAGAACGCCCTCTGAGACGAGAGCGTTCAGTGAAAGGTAAAACCCACCCACGTGTCGATACCTCAGTATGAATCATCAGCAGGACACCGAGAATCAAACCGGCCAGCCTGGTTTTTTTTAAACCGAAAAAAGCTTTGACGTGACCTGAAGCTCCTTTAACCTGTATGACTTCAAAGCTCTTTGACTTGTTTACTTTAGTCTACAGCTCTTAAATGAGCAGCTGACGTCATGTTTTCTTTTCCAAGAATTTGTTTGTTCTGTGGGACACGTCGGGAACATCAGAGCTCCTACAGTCTAAAAGCATGATGTGAGAAAACCAAAGAACTTTATGGTGAAAGCACTTTTCTGGTTCCTTTTAATGTTTTAGCAGGAAGATTCTTTTAAATCATGTCTAAAATAAAATGTGTTATTTTTATTATTACTGAACTGCATTATTTGATGAATTAAAGCTGTTCTTTACTCACAGCTTGACTCCGTCTGAACTCTGACCTGTGATGTAAGAGGAAGCAGGAAAACACGCTTTTGTTGCTTTTTATGTTTTAAATGATTACAGGGACGATCTGTTTTATTATTTTATGATGAAGTCATGATGGCGTGATCATGTTTGTTTTTCTCAGCTGATTTCTCCTTGTTTTGTAATTAATGTTAAATTAAAATACTCTTAAAAACTTTTATTGGAATCAACTTTCAGTCCTCGACAGATGAGGAAGCCCCCATCCATCAGGCCCTCAGGGCTGAGCAGCTGACTGTCACCATCAGTAAAGCACGGCGGCGCTGTCATCACGCTTTAGAAACTCATTCAGTGTGCCCGATGCTACCAGTGCATGCGGGCATCTCATAGGTATGTACACAATGTGCTCTGGCATCATCACTATGACAATCTGGTAGAAGGTTCCGCATCTTCCGGGCAAGGACAGAGAGACTCAAGAGGAGCTCTACTCCCCAAGCCATCCGTGCTCTAAACACACACACCCGCCTCTCACATTCATCTAAATGACTGAGCAGACCTCTTCCAGACACTAAACCAAGGACAATGTACATTTCAATTCCTTTATTTTAAATATTAGTTCTATATGTCTATCCTAGAAATATAGTCAGAGTCTATTCATATCTATGTACAGAATTCACCTGCTTCTGCTACACTGACACATTCACCCTAATGTACCTATACGTCATATATATATATATATATGTTCTTCCTCTCTACCCCCCCCCCCCCCCCCCCCCCCCCCAACTCTTTGTAGCCAAATTTTTCACCATGTCGAGGAGCTGTACAGGCTACATTTCCACTGTAGTGTATATACTTGTATAACATGCAGTGACAAATAGAACCTGAACCTTAACCTATAATCTAGTTCTGATTTTTCTGTTCAGGTGAAAGAGACAAAGTTACAAATTGTTTCCTGCAGGCGAACTTTATTTCACTTCCTCTTATTATAGCAGCCGTGCTGTCTGACCATCACTCACAGCAACCCTCTTTAGAAAACACTCTAAAGGCTGACAGTTGTCTTGGGACTGACTCGATGCTCAAGCATATAGAGAACTGCAGTTTTTCAGTATTTATTCAAATAATAATTCAAATATTCTGTAGAAGCCACCTGCCACCTAAGAAAATGTCAAAATATTTGACTTATTCTGTGCATATTTCCACGACCCTTTATCCATAACACATTCATAGAACCTACCGTTGTATATACTGGATTATCTTATTTATTTTGTATTTCTTGAGTTTATATTCTGGTGCACTCTTTGCATTCTTCTGTTATCTGTACCTGAGCCGTGGGGTCTGTAAAATCTTATCTTCAAACTGGTACAGTTTACAAGAATTCACTCCCATGACTGCCAATTGAAACTACCACAGATCTCTTACAGGACAGTCGCCTGAGAGCAGGAAGTGGAGGAAGGGTTCAGATATTTAAAAGATACTTTTACTGAGAACTTACATTAAAAAACCTGTAAATGTATGAGCAGAAGGATAAACTACAGCAATACAAATTGTATGCTTTTTATTGATGCTGAGACATTTCCATGTACATGAATTGTTAATTTTATTAGTTGAGTAAATTTGTGATGTTTCACATCCTTCTAAACTTTATACATTTAGCATTTATCTCTGAATTTAGTGAAATAAAGTACAAAGTATTAAAACGATCCGTCTAACTTTAAGATCTCAGATTGTTGAAGCTGGTATTGTTGTGGCTCTTTTCATTTGTTCGTTCATTTCTGGTAATCATGAGTCAGCTTGTTGTATTGTTCTGTAATGAGCAGTAAAAGCAGCACAAGGCTCAGGTCTCTGAGAAACACGGAGAGTCAAACGGACTCGTCTGGATGTTCGTGTAGCAGTGCAAACAGGAAATTTACAGATTTAAAAGCAGACTTTTAATTTTGTTTGATGTTACAACCTGAACAAATGTGTCCACGGCCATTTATAACTTACAATATTGTAAATTATTACAATTTTGTAAAAAGAGACGAGCTGAATTTCTTTGTATCATCATTTAAATTGCAAAATAAATGAGATTGTGAGTCTTAAATCTCAGGTGAGACTCACCTGTAAGCGTTAAGGCCAACAGCAGGACTCCACATGAAAACAGCTCCATCCCCACAGAGTCTTTTCTCAAAGTGTCTCCCAACTCCAACGGCAGGAGTCTGTAAAGCACGAGGGCGTGACCGCCTGCATCATACCTGACCGTCAGCCAGCTGAGCACACGCCACAAACACACCTGACACACCTTCTTCTGAAACCAAAAGCAAACACAGATGCGAACAGACCGCACTGCTCACGGTGCTAATGTTGTTGTCCTGATTTGTTTTTATTGATATGTTTACATTCATACAGATTTTCCGCCAGTTTTCCTGTGAAAATGGTTTCATTTTTATTCATTTGCCAACAAAATATGTCAAATATTAAAAGCATTTCTGTATTTTATTTTACAAATATTATTACTTAGATTTTTATGTTCACTCTTCTTCTGACAAATAAAGTCGTCTAAGGAAAGAGAGCTCCTTAGACGACGATGACCTGGATGACTGAGAACCTTCACCGACAAATAAAGTCACAAACACTTTTCTTTATATTTCTATTTTATATTTCCTTCCGCACCGATCGACCTCTGCCCCGGTTACTAACGACTGTGCTGAAAATAGAGGAACGCTGGATTCTCCATCACGCACAGACTGGCTCACCGGAAGGCCGTCCAGGCCTCTCTGGGGAACTGGAGCCCCTCGAAGGCGACGCACAGTCCGGCTCTGAGCCCCGAGACCGCAGGTCTGCACCGGCCTCGGCCGCTATGACGAACCGGGAGGAAGCGTCTCGATGGACACAGGAACTCATCGGACCGCTGCCTTGATAGAGAACAGGGTTATTTCCCACGGACACCGAGTCTGTTAGAGTCAGAGCTCCTCATCGGCAGAAGTTATCAAAGTGAGGCTGAAAGAAAACAGGGTTAACATCAGAAAACACTTTAATTCTCCTTAAATCTAAGTTTAAACCAGTCTGAGATTACTTTAAACTGAATTTAATTAAGATGAAATTCATTTTCTACGAACTGTTTAAGGACCAGAGTTCACACATCATCTGTCATCACCAGAATAAAACGCCACGTCTGATTGGATGACACGAACAGAGATGGGGACGCGTCACACAGCGACGTGACGGCTCGTCAGAGCGCGGACGAGCTCAATAATTCAGTTTCTCTTTCTTACAGATGTGGAACAGATGTTCCAAAGGTTCAGACATCATGTTGCTGTTAATCCCATCTGTTGGTTTGAAATGGAAGCAGCCCTCCCATTGGCTGGTTCACATTTGGTAAAAGGATGAGTATTTACTCTTTACTCTACAGACTAATTGCAATCATTCATCCACAGACTTGTTTTTTTATTCTTTACTTTTAAATATTTACGTAGCTTCACATCTGGAGCAGCCAGGGATGAACCACAGGCCTGAGGAGCAGGTGTACCTCCTGACTTCAGTGGGAGTTTCTGTAGCCTGTCCGATCGATCTGTGTTATTTATTATTTCAGAGGTTGAAGCATTGTCTCTTCACAGATCTTTAAAAGTCTCCTGCTCATTTCTGCCTCCATAGTTTTAATCTTGGACCTTCTTTATCTGCTGCTGACTTTTCGTGCAGCCGTTTGAGTTTCTGTCCCTTCAAGGCCCAACTGCCTTTACAGCCGTTTTGTTTCTCATTGGCCAGCTTCTGTAAGCCTGCAGAGGGGCAGCACTTAGTGTCTGTCAGCTGTGCTGTTCCCGTCTGCAGGGATGAAGCTTCTTCTTTTAAGCCAGTCTGGAAGTTAGTGCCGTTGCAGCTCCTTCAACATAAAAGCACGCTGTAACCTTTTCTTCTTCTTCTTCTGGATTATTGCAGGAAATCGTCTCAGTGTGAAATGCTATTTAATACCTTCCCTTTTTATCACTACAAACTGACACTACGTTTGTGAGCAAGCGGTCACGATCAACCTGTGAATGTTCACCTGTAAGGTGGGATTCACACCTGCACGCTGCTCCAACACTTGAAGGTGGAGCTCCTGATTGCTCTCTGCTTTGACTCCAACATTTTGATGCTACTCCCTCAGGATTTCCATATTGTGATTTCATTGGCTAGTGGCAGCACTGGAGTATTTGTATGAGCATGACTTGATTGGCTGACACCAGGTGAAGCTCGAAACACCTCCGTGTGAATCCTGCCTAACATCTGAAAGTGAAGGTCAGAAATTTGGTTTCAGTTTTATCTACATAACACCAAACAACAACAGCCACCCCAGGTATTTGTATTGTAAGCTAGAGACTCTACAATAATACAGAGAAAACCCCAACAATCAAATGAGCAAGGACTTTGGCGACAGTGGGAAGGAAAAACTCCCTTTTAGCAGGAAGAAACCTCCAGCAGAACCAGGCTCATCTGCTCTGACCTCATAGTTGCACAGAGTTTAAATTAAATTTAGAATTTAGTCTAAAGTAACACGTTTTGGGGTTTTTTTTTTGGGTTTTTTTTTTGCCCAACTCTGATTGGATGAGCTGGACCTGCAGGTGTCTCCCAGCTCAGGTGTCTGTTAACACTTTGACTTCTGCCTTGGGAGCCGCAGAGAAGTGAACCCGGAGCCGCACCCCCCCCCCCGAAACACCACATTTAGAGCAGAAATCACACGATGCACTTTATCCGTCACATCAGAGCATGTTCAGGTCCACGCTGTCTTTGCTGCAACCACTGACACGTGATTGGAGGGCAGCCGTGGAGATGACGTGGTGTCCCGCGTGATGTTTGAATGTTGTGTTTTAGAGTCACAGCGCAGAGCTGCTGTGTGAAGCATTAGCACTTTATCAACTGTATGCTGGAGTCTCTTTTATTTTGAAGGACGTTTAGGAAACAGTTTTATTCTCGTGGATTTAAAACTACCATCGTGTTGACAGAATGAAAACTATGCAAATGTTTGAAAGCTGTCTTTATGCTTCAGAAAAACAAGTCGAGCTCTTTATCTGCAGCTTCTCTTCTCTGATAGCAGGGTGAAAATAGACGTGTATGCATTCTGATGTGGTTAGTGTTACACTGAAGCTTTTTAAACGTTCAGGTTGACTTTTACTCCGTATTCTGTTCGCTCAGTAGCTACTTTAATATAAAGTTTATATACTGTATGCATAGCAGTATGAATGTAAATAACAATAGAAAAAAATATGCGGGTGAACTGAAGGAAATAAACATTTGAAAGTTTTCACATCTTCGTTTTTTCATTTTTTGAGACGCAATCAGCAGAAAAGTCTTTTAATGCAGTATTTCACAATAAACGGTTGCATGGCCCTTTACAGTGTGGAGAATTAAATACACAGAATTATCTAGAGTTCTTTTCTATAATTCGTGAGTGCACTAACACCCATCACTGTATCACCTTTGACACCACAATATTTTAAAATCCACTGATTCCCAGGAAAGTTCTGGATCAACTCTTCCTAGTACATCTTTGCTGTACAATCACTTTGATTTTATTTTTTAACCCTTATTTATCAATATATATTTAAACTAAATGTGCCGAATACGTTATGAGCCACTTCTTCTTCTTATATATGCATTAATGTAGAGCTTAATCGATTATTTCTGTCCCTAAGTAATCTTAAAACGGGACTGAGAACCCATAATCAGCACGTTATGGCTTTAACACGTATTGTAACCTTTATTTTTACATATTTGTAGAATTAACAAGACCGAATTAGTTATGAGGAGGTTCTTCTTTATATGCACCATTTGACGTACTGACATGTGTCACTGAATTACTTTGATGATGAACAAATCTTAAAACTCGAGTGATTCGAAGGCGAGTTTGGCAGCGTTCCGATTCCCGCCCCTAGTACACCACGGCTGTAATGTGAGTTTTGTTAATAATTTTAAACATTTATTTATTGACATATTTGCAGAATAAACGGCGCCGAGTTGTTTTGTTTGTCACGTACTCATTACTGTCCCTAAATATATCAATAAATTACTTTCAGAGAGAAAAATTATTAAAATGCGAAATATTTTAAGGTATTTTCTGTCCCAAAACCCATTCCGACGTGATGACGCGTTTCTATCACGTCCAAACCATAACATCTGTTGGCAGCTCGTAGCTGTGAGCTTTATCTTGGCGTTTTATTTGATATAAAAACGGCATATTTACACGTCACAGAGGAAGCGTGAGCCCTTCGAGGTCCAGGTGGTTTTCAGCCTCCTCAGGTGTGTAGCCGTGACGCTCAGGTACGCTTTTAGCTAGCGCTGGGTGTGTGTGTGTCGCATCTGCTACAGCTAGCTGTGCTGGCTGATAGCAGACTTCGTTGATTAGCTTTATAGCCCCGTTTTAATTAAACAACGTGGCTGGAGACCAAAGCTCTGAAGAACCAGGTCAGAAAAAGAGGGAAAGAAACATTAGCATGCTAGGGCTAGCTTCACATTAGCATTTCCTCCTGTATGGTGTGGGCGGTGAGAGCTCAGAGCTCCGTGAAAAACGGGTTAGTCATGTTTTCAGTGTCTGTGGTGATGCGCAGTAAGAACTAATAAATGCACTCAAACTGACATGGTAGGATTACAGGTGTAGTTTTGTTTGCCTGTGCACAGTTGTTTACCTGCACAAACTCAGTAATCAAAGGTACAGCATTGTTGCATCTAGTCAATAATATCCTGATTGTGTAAGCAAAGTCTGATCTCATCGTCCAGTCAGGACAGGATGCTGTTCATTAGGATCTAGCTCCTGCCAGGTAAAGGTACCAAACATCCTCTCACACTGACTCACTCTCTGGATCTTTCCCCTCCAGTTTCCTCTTCCTCCTGTTGGATCCCAGTGTCAGGATAGGGAAGCAAAGCAAAGCAGCAGCTGCTGGTGGTGCAGCCGGCTCGGGTGACAAAATGTCCGAAAGTCCGGAGAAGGATGCCTCGGTGTCGGCTCAGGAGTTGAAGGAGCAGGGAAACCGTCTGTTCCTGAGCCGCAAATACCTGGAGGCCGCAGCCTGCTACACCAAAGCCATAGTAAGGGTCGGGCGATGGGGAGCGTGCTCGCCTTCCTCCCTCTACTCATATAAACACACTTTTCCCGACTTCCATGATTTTCTCTGAGAAACCGAGGAATCAGTCTGATCAGTGCTGCCTCCTCCGTGTGTCTGTTCTCCATCAGAGCCACAGTCCCTCCATCCCGGCGTACTACA